ATATTTTATTGCAGATTTGCTATTTTCCGTCGTTGTCTTGATGCCGAGATGAAGGACAGCATGCGGCAAGGTGTGAGTTTGCAAACAAAGAAAGAAGAGAAGGAAGCTGTTACAGAAGAGGAAGAAGAAAAGTTCTGGAGTGCAGGATTATTTAGGAATAGCTAAGCAATTATTAGATACTATTTTTTTCTATAATGGTAAAATGTTTGGCTTGCGTGGTCAACGAAAAAAACTGAACTGGCAGTGTAGCTGATTAATTATGATGATTTATTAAACTGAAGTATTGTTCTTGTGTTCAGCTTGTTTTGTTTTGATTCATGAATCTTGATGTCCAATGAGAAGACAGATGAAAACCACGCATGGTTTTTATATGTGATCCAAAACACGTGTGGTTTTCATCTGTGTTTTCATTGGGTATCAAAACTCATGCACGTGACAAATTTAGCCATTTTTTATTGGCTATTAAACTTATGAATTATTAATGAGTTTTAGAATAAAACGTAAAAGCAAATGCAAGCTGGCAGCCAAAAGATAGTTTATTATTTGATTGCCCGATATTTTGGTTAGACATCACTATCCTTCGTTTGGGGCTACAAAACGCAATAACAAATTCTTGTAAATAAGCGGTTGAAAAAAAAAACAACAACGAACAGTCGATATTTCTCTTCCTCTATGAGTTGTTGGAAGAAGAAAAAAGAAAATCTAAAGTACGAATAACAAGAATCTGTGTGTCGAGAATTTATTTACTGGGCTAAAAACGTATACTGTGATTAACATAAAAAGCGGTCAGCAGGTGTTCAAAATGGTTAGGACCGCTTTGTTAAAAGAAGACAAATTGAGGTGATAATCAAAATTAGTAGAAAAGTATTGTTGCTATCGTGAATATCATTTATTATTTTATACCCAAGCATTATTGATGGTTATGGGGTTTCGTTCACTTTAACGAAACGTGTGTCCTAATGGATATTGCTATTTTGCTTTAGTAACGGATAAGCTGTTGGAAGGAAATCTAGGGAAATATGCGAATAACAAGAATCTATATGTGTCGTGAATTTTTATATACTGAGCTATAAAACATATATCAACATAAAAAGCTGTCAGGTGTTTAAAATGATTAGGGACCGTGCTCGTTTAAAAAGGGCATGAGCTGTAATCGAAACTATTCTAAAGAAAATTTTTCTTAGTTGCAAGTTAGAATGGATATCTTTATTTTATACCTAATTATTATTGATAGTTATGGGGCTCACTCAATCGAAACCTATCTCAACCGACCCGAAAATTATAAACAAACCAGTTTGACATGTTTGGACTGTTAAGACTTCCTTTCTACAAGCCCCGAAACTCTATGCACACGTCTGTCAAAGCTGGCCGTCCACGATTAGCAATTTAATTGATTAACTTTGATGTTGAAATAGTTTATAAGTGTACATAACAAATATCGCCCAGTCGAATATTTACTAAACGAGATGTCATAATAAGGTTTTCAACAGCGCGCGTTTTGCTTCTCATAACAGACCCAAAAACTAAAGGCTCTTGCTAAGTTTCTTTTTCCAGCCATCTGAATTCGGTTCTTAATAACTCACATGTATTACGCTCTGCTAGGAAAATTCTGATGACTCAAGCATATTTGTGTGCAGCTTAATTGTTGGAACTTACAGCGATGTTAATGAAGAAAACGTCTTACAGACTCGGTTGCACAGACGACTTTATTAAGACCTAAAAACTGTCATTAAAATGGCCGGTAAGTCAGTTTCACCAGGCTCATTATAGTTCGACTAATGTTTGTTTGAAAAACTAGACAACTTTGCTGAATCCTTTTTCCTCGTGTAGTACGACTAAAAACACAATTATTTTTTTCCTCAAAGTTTTGTGGAAAAAGTTGAGAAAGAGTTGACAAAGGTCCGCATTATCGTACATCCATAACAGACGACAAAATTACCGCAGGCCACACAGTTTGGTGTGTTTACCGACTGTCAAGACTTCCTTTACTACTGAAAACTCATTAAAATCGTCAGTGAGTTAGTTTCCTGAACAGGCTCATTAAAGTTCGGTGTCAGCTTGAAACACTTCTTTTAAGAACAAAATAAGACTCATCTCTTTTGTTTTTGTTTGAAACACGGACCGTGATAATTACAGGACGATGTGAAAATTACAGAAAAATTAGCAAACAAAATAACCGCGTCAAAGCACTTGCACTGAGATGGTCAGGACTTTTTCGGGCAATTTCCCTTTACCCTCATTGAGTCCTCATGTGGATACCTTTTTTCAGCCATCTTAACCATACGCGTAGTCAATACGTAGCCCATATACACCTGATTGCAGTGAACATGTCATAGAAAAATGGTAAAGGAGAGATAAAAATAGAAAAAGCCAAATAGGAATTACAAGTTAGGCCTGCTAATGAATCTAGAAAGGAGTCAGAAAGGGAGCATTTATTTGCTGCATAGGCGATTTGGGGCCATAGAAGCAAAGACAGTACGCGTATGTTGAAAATAAATTCACCATATTTAGTGGTCTAACGGTAAGCCTAATTATTTTCGATTTATATTTCCATTTTTAATTTCAGTTCCTTTTAGCTGATTCAGCTATGACAACGCTATTGCAATTAGGTGTATATATATATCGCATGTCAAGTTGCCAATACGCCACCAACATATAAGACCTAAAAAGTTATTAAAATCATCCGTGAGTTTAAGTTTCACCTGTACCATGACTTACACCTCGCTCGTCACAGTTCGGTCAGTTAGATACCGAGACAACTTTGCTCGACTTTTCTTGACCCTGTGAGCTTTTTTCTTTTACGTTTAGTTAAAAGTTTTTGCACGTTTATGACTCTATAAATTACTTCTGATCATTATTCATTAATACGCGACGAATTAACTCGTATAGCGGCGTTTAGGTAAACAGTCTTGACTGTAGAGATGTCGACATGATATCAGCATTCACCCAAATTAAAATAGTGTATATAAATAAAACTCTCACTTGCAGGTCATTGCGCCGAGGAGGAAAATGGCCCTGAAAAATTTTACTGAAGATGAAAACCATAGAACTAGCCGAGAATTGTCCTGCACGGCTGAATTTGTCAGAGGTGTAAAGAGCGAGGTCATATTCCTTTCAGCTTTAAATATTTTTTTTTTCGTCACTGCATTTCTGGGGAACACTCTGATCCTAGTTGCTCTGCACAAGGAAACTTCGCTTCATCCGCCGTCCAAACTCCTGTATCGTAACCTAGCGTTAACTGATCTCTGTGTTGGTATCATTGTAGAGCCTTTGTTTGTGACTTATTGGACTTCTGTTGTGAACGAAAGGTGGGATATTTGCTATCACGCAATTCGGGCAGCAACTTTCTCAGGTATTATTTTCTGTTTGGTGTCTTTTTTAACAGTGGCTTCAATAAGCGTGGACAGACTTTTCGCCTTGTTGCTGGGGCTCAGATACAGACAAGTTGTAACTTTTAGAAGAACATGTATAACTGTGACTGGTTTTTGGATTTTGTCCATCGTCTGTGCATCTACTCTCTTTTTGAATCTTCGTATAACTTCATGGTGTCTATACATAGTTTCAGCTTTGTGTCTGGTCACCACAATCTTCGCTTACGCAAAAATTTTCATTACTCTGCGTCATAACCAAATTCATGTTCAGAACCATGCTGCTCAAGGACAACCGAGCGAAGCAATTCCACTGAACATAGCTCGATACAGAAAGGCAGTGTATAGTGCACTGTGGGTGCAGGGAACATTGGTTATTTGTTATCTGCCGTATGTTATAGTAGTACCTTTGACACCTCATAGAGGGATGTCTTCATCCCTTTACCGTGCTTTGCAATTTACGACTACTTTAGTGTTTTTGAACTCATCATTAAACCCATTGTTGTACTGCTGGAAGATCAGAGAAGTGAGGCAAGCTGTAAAAGTAACATTAAGGCAACTTTTCTGTCGATCGAGTTAGTTTTTTACGCTTTCCATCTGTTAATTCCTGCTCTGATATTTTGCAGTTAACTGTAATGTATTGTATTGTAAGCTTACTTTAAGAAACAAGGCGTATCAACTGTTTTTTCAAGGGAAACTTATATTGTTCCTGCTGGTTTAAAAATGTTATAGTTTTTATTTAGTGGCATGAAATGTAAATGGCCTTACGAATAAATAGGTAACAAAGAAACAATTGAAATAGGGTGTGAATATATGTTACTTTATGTTTGGTAATATATCAACTTTGCAGGTTCCCTCACTCTTTTTTGTACATATTTCTTTGCCGTCGTTGCACGACTACGACGTGAAAGTTATATTACTTATTTCATTTTTTTGGAGGACGTGAACACAAGAAAACGACTTCCTTTTTGTTTTCCTGAATTTCGATACAATACAGTGTTTGAGAATTTACCTCCAGAGAAAATTACCAACATTTGACGAATTGAACGAGATGGAATTTCGATACAATACAGTTTAAGAATTTACCTCCAGAGAAAATTACCAACATTTGACGAATTGAACGAGATGGAATAAGTGCGACAAATTGACTAAAGAGTAGATGGGCGGGTTTTATCAACAGAGGCGAAGATAAAATTTCTCATAGTACTTCTGTATCCTTTTGAATATGTCCAGAGGCCGGCTTTTCATAGAATTTCCCAGCTTTAGATACCCGTAAAATTCGTCGGAGGACATTGTTCTCCGGTACACTGAGCAGGAAGAAGCCATGTCCAGTAGGTCCTAGCCTGTGTATAGCCGACCCCTGCCCTCTTTTAAAAAACAAATCTATCTCTCCCTAGGGGAGGGGCGTCTGTACTCAGGCTATACTTTCTAGTAGGCCCAAACAGAACTCAAGTGTGTTAAGGTTTGGATTTTTTATCATAGAGGACCCCCAGCAAAGTTTTAAGATATCACGCTTGCAGCTCGTAAGAATAAGTTTGTTTCAGTCGTGGAACTGAGAAAAATTAACATTTGACGTGCCTTCCAATAGGGTACATTTGTACATTAAAAATTCGAAACTTTTCGAATGTCAAAATGGCCTCAAGACCGTTCTCGAAAGGCGTTTCCGCCTTTTAAAGCGGAATTCATTCTATGCCTTATCAGTTATTAGTATATTTGTTAAGTCACGTGACCCGTTTTACTTAATTGACGGTTTCCGACAGCACATGGACATTATTAAAAGGCGGCATTCTAAAGCCCTTACTAGGAGCCATAGAAAAACGATAAAATAAGGCGAATACAGTTTGATATAAGTATTCCCCATTTTCAGTGACGAGTTTTGACCGTTGTAAGGCAGAAGTGAGTCACGTGACTGAGAATTAGAATAGAAAAGCTCATAAAATGAATATAAACATGGAAAGGAACCTGTTTGCCAAGTTTCACAAAGATGATAGGAATGTTTCTCCTTAAAATGAAAATCCACCGAATTCGTGGTTGAGTCAAAGCCTTATTACATATGAGAAGGAGTAGGGTGGCTCCATCAACTGACTGTGTAATTTAAAGTTGGATAAATTAAAATTTTCACTGAATGACTGATGAGCTCTATTAATTGTCTCGAACCCCAAAACATGGCTCGTTGCACCACAGGTGTAACTTCATCGCTCACAACTAATTTTGGGTATAAAGTATAGCGTAGTTTTCTTAATTTTGGTATTTTACACGAGTTTTAGTTTATTTTTTGGTATATTGGAAGGTTTATTTCGGGTAATTTGGTATCTTACTACCCCTCCGGCCGACCCTGTATACTCATATCGCTATTCAGAACAATCAGTATTCGGTTATTGGCGCTGTCATTTTTCGTGTTCTCGTTTGGCTTTTGTATCTTTACTTGAGGTTACGTCTAGCGCCAGTATAAATTGTTACTGAGTTGTAAGGCCAGCAAAAGCTTAAAATAATCGGTATATTGCTGCCCTCTACATCAGTTGTTGTTTATACACCATATGTGATGGAGACGAAAAATCATCGAGAGAAATGACAGGTGTCCATGATACTGGGTAAGAATTAAGGTTATATTAATAACTCATCGGTCGTCAGTCCAGTTGGTAAAAGTACCATTTTGAAGGGCAAAATATTGGCTTCAAAAATTAGGAATGCTCGTATCTAAGAAGATGAACTGGTCATTAAATACGTGCCTTAACTTTTGTATTCTTCCTAACACAGGTGTCAAGCAAGCGATAGCAAAAATTCACCTCATGAGCACATAATATTTTGCAACAAAAGCAACCATTGTGCTTTGTACTATACACCAGAAGGGATGTTAATTATTAACGTAGAACGGGGAATGGTAAAAAAAGTCTATCCATGTAAATTCCACGCAAAAAAAAACTTGCGTACTGCCGGAAGAGGCTGTAGGATGAAAGCCAGGCGAAAAACCCCAGAAAAAAAAAAGACATGCAAATAGAACCAAAAAAAATTACATGCTAGGCAAGAACTCTCCCAACCTCACCTCTCCTCCTGCCCTTGCTTTGCCGATGGCGATTTTAATCAGTAATTTGCGTGTTTTTAAAGCAATAATCATCATTTTTCCCGCTAAAACTATCGTTCAGTTTCTATGAAATCTCATCCTTCGCGAAGGACCCAAACAGTCTCTATTTTTCAGCCTTCCGACACTCAGTTGTTTATAGACTAAGCTCAATAAAAAGAAGTCCGTTTGCTAATAATGGCCAGTTCCCTAACCACAGGAAGGAGCCTTGTAAGGAGAATTCGTATAATGATAATCTAGTGCGTACTACCAGGAGCCACTGATTTTTGGGTAGACTTGCTACAAGTATGAAATCCATAAATGAAATCCAACGAAGGACTTCTGGTAAGTCTAATTTTTGGGTACCCTGTCATCTTGCCTAAGCTCCCTTATTTGGGGAGCTAAAGTAACGAGGACAGCAACGAGAACGGCAAATAAGTAATTAATAGGCTTAGATTACGAAAACAACAACTTTGCACGTACACTGTACGTTCAAAGTTGTTGTCACCCTTTTTTGAACATTTCTTTGCCTTCGCTGCGCGAGTACGACGTAAAACTTCCTAATTTCACAATTTTTAGAGAACATTTCGTCTTTCCCCGAACTTAGAGAAAAAAATCCACTCCAGAAAAATTCGCTGTTTAGACAATTGACAAATTGAACGAGATAGAACAAGAGCGATGGACTAGAAACGTACAGCGCGAATGCATTCTTTAATTTTCAACGATGTCTTCGCCGTCGTGTTTACCTATGAACATCATCGTAAATAGTAAATACAGTCGAAGCTTTTGTAAGCGACCGCATGGTAAAACAAAAGAGGGTGGTGGATTACGAGAGCTTCAGAAACTCATTAATAATTCATAAATAAAAAAAGGCGGGTTAAGTGGTCTCGGCTACGAAATGACCTTGAAGCTATACAAAAGCAATACTGCACTGTACAAGATCTTTATCAACGAACCATAACCGCAGTGTACAGTTACATTTAAGTGTTGATTTATATAAATAAGAATCTGAGTGGCCGCTGAGTGATTGCTTACGAGGAAAGGTCTAGCTGGGTAGCTAATCCCAAAAGTGGTCACAGTCGCTTGCGGGAGTGGTTTCTTAAGAGAGCTCTTCATTACAAAGTCATAGTTCAAACGGGGTTCATAAAGTTGGTTGTAACTAGAGCTCGTCACTTGTGAACCGATTGTGGTCGCAAGGAGAGCTTCCGCCTTCGACTGTATTTGTATGACAATTAACATGCCCGTTATATGGCTATAAGAAACGAGTGTTGTTGTTAGTGGTGAAGTAGACTGTTCACAGCCCCCTATTTTTCCGTGATATCGTCGAGACATTACCATTAATGGAGGCCATCTTGATTTTCAAATGTACCTAGGGAGCGGGCGTTGGGGATTATAGCTCTAGGGGGAGGGGGGCGAGAAAAATATTTTTCTCGCTTCCTCTCAAACCGCCCCCTGCCCCCTCAGTAGTTTTGACACTCATGCAAGATGGCAGCCAGTAACGCAAAGCGCTCGATCTCGACGATCTTATGGGAGAATAGCAGGGGCACCCAACGAGAATATAGTTCAAAACCACTTAAACATAGCATTGTTGAACGTATTTTAGTATTTAAACGGTAGATATAGGCATATTTTTATCCCCTAAAAATTTTTTATCTGTTCGGATTTCCTAGCTGAAAGTCTAGTGATCCGAAAATTATAGGGATCAAAACTTACCTTTTCGAAAATTTCAGCCAGAAAAAAGGCTCCCGAAAATTCTAGGTGGCCTTTTTAGGCGAAAAATCCGTTAAAAATGGTCAATTATACCATTTTTTAGATGCTCTAAAATCCTAGAAGAGGCAGACAAGCAAGAAATTTTGGAAAAAATGTTCCGAAAATTGTAGATCTCAAATCGGCTTCTGAACAGATATTTTCCGAAAATTGTCGTTGGGTGCCCCTGGAATAGGGGACTGTGAACAGTCTAGTAGTGAAGTTATCATTTTACATCTTTATAAACAACATAAATAACAGACAACAAAATTACCGCAGCACACACAGTTTGGTGCGTTAACCGACTGTTAACACTTCCTTTACACTGAAAACTCATTAAAATCGTCAGTTGGTTAATTTCAACAGGCTCATTTAAGTTCAGTGTCAGCTTGAAGATATTGTCTTTACTAAACCCTGACTACAACTTTTAAGAACAAAATAAAACTCATCTCTTTTGTTTTTGTTTGAAACACAGATCGTGATATTTACAGGCGTGATAATTACAGAAGAATTAGCAAATATAATAACAGCGTCAAAGCGCTTGCACTGAGATGGTCATGACGTTTTCGTGCGATTTCCCTTTAGTGTACCCTAATTGATGGTTTTCACAGTGACGTCATCAAATTGCAAAGTCAAAAAAGCGAGGTTCTACGAATTCTTATTTACACTAGGTTGAAGATAAATAGAAAATAACTCTTTGTACAAGATTCCAGCCCCGAAGCATGTTTCATTCCGAAAATACAGCAAATTGAACTTAATTTTCCGAGTTTTCACAGTGCGTGACATCAAAATAGGAATGCTGTCTCATTGAAAAAAGTCTCTCCTCTTGATTTTCTTGATTTTGATAATCATGTCGTTTTCCCTACCCTAATTGAGTCCTAATTGTTGTAAACATGTGGATATCTTTTTCCAGCCATATTAACTTCACGCGTGGTCACGTAGCGCGTATACACCTAATTGCAATAACGTTGTCTTAGAAAAATGGTAAAGTGGAAATGAAAATAGAAAAAGCCAAATAGGAATTAATTAGGCCTGCTAATAAATCTACAAAGGAGTTAGTAAAAGCGGAGCATTTATTTGCTGCATAGGCGTTTTGGGGGCATTAAGAAGCGAAGGCAGCACGTGTGCGTTGTTTGAAAATATATCCACCACATAGTGGTTTAATGGTATATAATTTCGATTTGTTTTTTGCATTTTTAATTTCTGTTCCTTTTAGCTGATTCAACTATGACAACGCAATTGCAATTAATTAGGTGTATATATATCGTTCAATTTCTGGGAAGGAGTGATGACTCAAGCTTATATAAAGTTTAAAAAATCTTGAGTTATGGGAATTTCCTTCAAATTGCTGCAATGTCAAGTTGCCAATGCGCCGCCAACATAAGACCTAAAAAGTTATTAAAATCATCCGTGAGTTTAAGTTTCACCTGTGACATATAACACCTGGCTCATCATAGTTAGGTCAGGTAGATTGAAGAAGTACCGACGGAGACAACTTTGCTCGACCTTTCTTGGCCCTGTGAGCTTTTTTCTTTTACGTTTAGTTAATAGTTTTTGCACGTTTATGACTCTATACCTCTGTGCCGAGTTGTTCGAAAGCGATTAGCGCTTAATCCGGGGTTACGTTTATGAATAACCCGGTTTCTTTTTCTTGTGTTCAAAAGCATTTTCTCAGCTAATTTTCTCTGTTATTTTTAGAGCTTCCAATCGTCAACGTGTAGACAAAAAGAATTAAAACCGAAATGCTTTTTAAGCTTTCAAATCTGAATTCAAATCACTGGGTTATCTTAAGGTGGCTCGATATAGTTTTTCAAGGTCAATACCTCCCAAGTTTGAGCGTAAGCTACGTCGCCATAAGCAAAGATTTGGAAAAATTGACACCACAGTTGTATTAGATAAAGATGAAGATTTGTTATGATCAGGGTTGCAATGACATCGGAGTTGTCATAGCAACGAAATGACGCCATTACCTATTTTACTTGCAACAGTATTTCTCGGCACTGGGAACTGTTCTTCCAAAATCGTTTACTGGAGCTTTTTCCTACAATAGCCGCCTCGATGTTAGTGAAGTTTAAGCGAAATCTGTAAGAGCGTTATCGAGATATTTTCGGAAGAAGTTTTTATGGTTAGAAATACGGTAAAAAAATGGACAATCTTGATGTTCGACTGTTATCTGTACTAAACGAAGCGCTTTTGACATGCAATTTCACCTCATAGTAGTTTCAATCTTTTTAAAAACGTGTGTGAAAGATCATGGAGATACCTCCAGCCGATTGCTAGAAAGAAGGATTTGATTAGTATGTATCAAGGCGCTCTTTTTAGCAGTAATGTAAACATTTCGGTCTACTTTAACAAATTAGCGAATAATTTTTAAACCGCTCGATAAATTTTTTAAAAAATTTAAGAATCTTGAGACTAACCGTCCTTTTATATGACCTCTTCGTTTCAAGATTAGCTTGAAGATATTGTGTTTTGCTAAACCCTGACTACAACTTTTAAGAACAAAATAAAACTCATCTCTTTTGTTTTTGTTTGAAACAGGGATCGTGATATTTACAGGCATGATAATTACAGAAGAATTAGCAAATAAAATAACCGTGTCAAAGCGCTTGCACTGAGATGGTCATGACGTTTTCTTGCGTTTTCCCTTTAGTGTACCCTAATTGATGGTTTTCACAGTGAGGTCATCAAATTGCAAAGTCAAAAAAGCGAGGTTCTATGAATTCTTATTTACACTAGGTTGAAGATAAATAGAAAAGAAATCTTTGTACAAGATTCCAGCCCCGATGTTTCTTTTCGAAAATACAGCAGTTTGAACTTCCGAGTTTTCACAGTGCGTGAAACCAAAATAGGAATGCTGTGTCATTGCAAAAAGTCTCTCGTCTTGATTTTCTTGATTTTGATGGTCATGTCGTTTTCGTGCGTTTTCCCTTTACCCTAATGGAGTCCTAATTATTGTAAACACGTAGATATCTTTTTCCAGCCATATTAACTTCACGCCTGGTCACGTAGCGCATATACACCTAATTGCGATAATGTCTTAGAAAAATGGTAAAGGGGAAATGAAAAAAGAAAAAGCCAAATAGGAATTAATTGGGCCTGCATGCTAATAAATCTAGAAAAGAGTCAGAAAGAGAGCATTTATTTGCTGCATAGGCGTTTTAGGGGCATAGAAGCGAAGACAGTACGCTTATGTTGAAAATAAATTCACGATAGAGTGGTTTAATGGTTAAAGCCTAATTTATTTCGATTTGTTTTTTGCATTTTTAATTTCAGTTCCTTGTAGCTGATTTAACAATGACAACGCAATTGCAATTAATTAGGTGTATATATGTCGCTTAATTTCTGAGAAGGAGTGATGACTCAGCCTTATATAAACTTTAAAAAGTCTTACGTTATTGGAATTTCCTTCAAATTACTGCGATGTCAAGTTGCCAATGCGCCGCCAACATAAGACCTAAAAAGTTATTTAAATTATCCGTGAGCTTAAGTTTCACTTGTGACATAACACCTGGCTCCGGCATAGTTCGGTCAGTTAGATTGAAGAAATACCGAGACAACTTTGCTCGACCTTTCTTGGTCCTGTGAGCTTTTTTCTTTTACGTTTAGTTAACTGATAGTTTTTGCACGTTTATGACTCTATAATTTACTTCTGATCATCATTTATTAATACGCGACAAATTAACGTATATAACCAGTTTAATTTAGGTAAATAGTTTTGACTGTAAAGATGTCGAAATCATATCAGCTTTCACCCAAATTCAAATTGTATATATAAATAAAACTCTCACTTGCAGGCCATTGCGCAGAAGAGGAAAATGGCCCTGGAAAATTTTACTGAAGGCGAAAACCATAAAACTGTCCAAGAACTGTACTGCTCGGCTAAATTTGTCAGAGGTGTAGAGAGCGAGCTTATATTCCTTTCAGCTCTAAATATCTTTTTTTCCGTCACTGCATTTCTGGGGAACACTCTGATCCTAGTTGCTCTGCACAAGGAAACTTCACTTCAGCCGCCGTCCAAACTCCTGTATCGTAACCTAGCGATAACTGATCTCTGTGTTGGTATCATTATAGAGCCTTTAACTGTGACTTATTTTACTTCTGTTGTGAAAGAAAGATGGGATATTTGCTATTACGCATATTGGGCAGGAAATTACTCAAGTTTTATTTTGTGTGTAGTGTCTCTATTAACACTGACTGCAATAAGCGTGGACAGACTTCTCACCTTGTTGCTGGGGCTCAGATACAGGCAAGTTGTAACTCATAGAAGAACATGTATAACTGTGACTGGTTTTTGGATTTTGTCCATCGTCAGTGCATCTACTATCTTTTTGAATCGTCGTATAACTTCATGGTGTCTATACATAGTTTCAGCTTTGTGTCTAGTCACCACAATCATCGCTTACACAAAACTTTTCTGTACTCTACGTCGTAATCAAATTCATGTTCAGAACCATGTTGTTCAAGGACAACCGAGCCAAGCAATTCCATGGAACATAGCTCGATACAGAAAGGCAGTCTACAGTGCACTGTGGGTACAGGGAACATTGGCTATTTGTTATCTTCCATTTTCTATAGTGTTCGTTTTGGCACCACGGAGAGGGATGCCTTTATCGATCTACCTTGCCTGGAATTTCACAACTAGCATGGTTTTCTTTAACTCGTCATTAAACCCCTTGCTGTACTGTTGGAAGATCAGAGAAGTAAGGCAAGCTGTAAAAGAAACATTAAGGCAACTCTTCTGTCGATCGAGTTAGTTGTTTACGGTTTCCATCCGTTGATTCGTGCTATATTTAAAACTTGCTTCCAAGCTGAAATTTACTGAATTTAACGCAGTTAACTGTTAATGTACTGTATGTATTGTAAGCTTATTTTAAGAAAAAAGGCATATCAGCTGTTTTTTCAAGTGAAACGTATTATATTCCTGCTGGTTTAAACATGCTATAGTTCAGTTATTTTGTGGCATGAAGTGTAAACGGCCTTACCAATAAATAGATAGCTAAGAAACAAATAGGATGTCAATATGTTTATATTAGCAACACAAAAACTTTGCTCGTTCATCACCCTTTTTTGTACTGTACATTTCTTTGCCGTCGCTGCACGACTACGACGTGAAAGTGCATCATTTCACTTTTTTGGAGGGCGTGAACACAAGGAAAGGACTTCTTCTTTCTTTTCCTGAATTTCGATACAGTGTTTAAGAATTCACCTCCAAAAAAAATTGCCAACATTTTTTAGAATTGAACGAGCTGGAATAAGTGCGACCAATTGACTACAGACGGGCGGGTTTTATCAACAGAGGCGAATATAAACTTTCTCATAATTCTTCCCCGCGCCATACCCTTTGTTGCCATTCAGTATAATGAGTATTCGGTTGGTCGCGCTCTCATTTTTCGTGCTGTCGTTTGGCTTTCGTATCTTTACGTGAGGAAAAATTTACACGACAGAAAACATGTTGAGCAAAAAGAAAAAGAATACAAAGCAGGAAGACCAACCATCCCCACCCTGTCATTTTTCCCGCGAAACCATCATTCAGTTTCCATGACAACTTTTCCTTCCCAAAGGACGCTTGGGATTGCAAAATTTTTCACTGTCATGGCGTTCTCTCCTCGGTCGAGAACAACTTTTGGGTTACCTCAAAGAAACGATCGTCCTTCAGAGCTTGCGTTTGATTTAAACAGCTTCGTTCGCCAAGCTCCGTACGATGAGCGAGATAAACCAATAAACACAGCTCAACACAGACTATGGCTGGACATGTCTCACCTCGACACGTCGACGATGCAACAAATCGATGACAAATACAACAGCAACATGTGGAAAAATTTCAAGTTTGTTCGCCCTAGGCACAGTGCCAACTACGGGAAACAAAGCTCCCCTGAAGCTTCTAGAGGCTTGATCGCGGAAATCTATCCATTAACATTGCCCAAGCCCTCGAGCATCGGCGAAAATACCTATCACAAATTCCTACAGGAAACGAAATTACCTAAAAACAAACACAAAATCGTCGGATGGCAGAAACAAGGAAAGGGGCATTTTCAGTCAAGGACTTTAAAAGTGAAGAGCGAATGCAGGGCTCCTCCAATTGATTGGGAGGGTAATATACTGCCTCCAACAAATTACAAGAGATACCCGAGACCTGAAAGTGATTTTTCTAACAATGATTGGCAATATTTATACCCATCCTACAGTTCACCAGCTCCTAGTAAAATGCAGTACACATTGCCAAACTCGCCGTATTCTCGACAAGGAACACCGTGGCGTTATGGACTACGTGTTAGAAGACCTATACTCGAATAAAATTAATGCACTCTATGTGGTGACAAAACGTTTGGATGGGTTCCGAGGCGAAGATTGCTTTCCAATGCACAGATTCGTCAGTATTAGCCCCGATGCTGGTGTGATGTAGTGAGACCTATGGCTGCTTAGTATCAACAAGTGGGTAATGTTAATACCCCAGCAAAAGGATCAAAGACACAGTACCTTTACAAGCAATTGTACACATGCACATGGTATGAGAGTTATCAGGCAAAGCATAGGGTTACCCTGGTGTTAGGCTAACCAATGTTATTAGGTAACACTCGGAAAGTCTTTCACTTCGGGGTTGAAAAAGGAAAGAGAGCTTGCAATATCTGCATTGAAAAAGTCGATGGAAAATGCTGATTGGTGGAGATGACATTAGTAATGATGTCATTAACCTTGGCACATGATTGGTGGAAACTTGACAGCTCAGTCAATGGGGAGCCACAGGGGAATTGGAGATGGAATTCAAATTCCAGGAACATAGTCGCAAGCTCTCCCTCCTTTTCCCACCCTGCCACCTGAGCACCTGGAAGAGCTTGCTCACAGGCTAAGAAGTGGCAAAAGTCAATTATTAGACAAAAAATAGCACCTTATGTGGTCATGATGTGATTGTACACTTGACTGAACAGAAACCTTTTGTGCGATAAAATATAGCGTCTTCATGGTTGCCACAAAGATGGGTTGGTATGATGACAGCAGAGGTACTTATCTACCCTCCATGTTGATACTTCGGTCATTATGAATGCCAAAGACAAACATTAATTTGCAGAAAATGGTGGTCAAAATGAAGATGATGATGATTATAATGGCAAAGATGGCAATCATGATGATGAGGTTAAAGTTGACAGTGAAAATCAAAAGTTATTATGGTACGTGGTGGGGAGCCCAACGGTACTAACCTATTTATACCAGTGTGCCCAGCATTTGAGGTGATGCTACATGGAACGATTCACAACGATGATTTTTAGTGCAACACACCATCCAATGTTTGAATAATGTTGTAACCATTTGAAACTCGGCAATGTCACAATAATGTTGTTGCAATGCTGTGTTGCACTAAAAATCGTTGTTGCGAATTATCTCGTGTACCATCACCTTATCAGTGTTTTGCTAACATCCTTGTCACCCATGGGTAATCTCATGTGTTGCTAGAGCACTAAGGATTTTTAGAATGAGACTAATAGTGAACTAGATTTGGGAAAAAATAGGAAAAAAAGTTTTATAAGACCAGCTTTTTTGGAACGACTAGTTACCTTCCCATGTTATGCTAAAGGAAATATGGCTAACAATGATGATTGTACAATGTATAAAGTATTTCTAGATAATGGTACTAAGTAATTTCTTAGAATTGTACAGTAAACTGAAGAACATGTATTGTTTTGTACAACAACTTTTATTTTCAATCTTCCTTTGTGATACTATGACATTGTATCCAGACTACTTACCATTAATAGTAAAAGTGTATAATATTATTTAAATGACATTATCATTAAAGAAAGCATTTGAATAGAACATTTCTTGTCATGAACTTACTCAGTGTCTTGCAAACTAAACAAAACTATACACCTTGATACCATACTTGTATACTGCAAAGTTGGTTTTGGCAAGAGTTTANAGTGAACTAGATTTGGGAAAAAATAGGAAAAAAAGTTTTATAAGACCAGCTTTTTTGGAACGACTAGTTACCTTCCCATGTTATGCTAAAGGAAATATGGCTAACAATGATGATTGTACAATGTATAAAGTATTTCTAGATAATGGTACTAAGTAATTTCTTAGAATTGTACAGTAAACTGAAGAACATGTATTGTTTTGTACAACAACTTTTATTTTCAATCTTCCTTTGTGATACTATGACATTGTATCCAGACTACTTACCATTAATAGTAAAAGTGTATAATATTATTTAAATGACATTATCATTAAAGAAAGCATTTGAATAGAACATTTCTTGTCATGAACTTACTCAATGTCTTGCAAACTAAACAAAACTATACACCTTGATACCATACTTGTATACTGCAAAGTTGGTTTTGGCAAGAGTTTATCTATCATTTCAGCATTTTTAAAGCCAATTCTGTTCTGGTATGGTGTGTAGTTCATTTGCATACCAAAGATAGTCTTAAAAGATGTAAAACGTCAGACAGCTAAATATTTCTTATTATAATAATGCGTTCTATCTCAAACTTTCTCTGTCAAGTCTAGACACAACCTCCCACCCCCATGCCGGGATCTTTGCCTGACTCTGGCCCGAGCAGCAATGAAGGAGACTAAATATATTTTTCAATATAAAGTCAATAATGTTTTTCAAAATACAAAGAAATCAGACTCCAAAATGGTCTTTGATAGCTTCAACCAGATCAGCCTTTTTGGTCCCACACTTGATACCAGCTTGCTTGACAAATTCTTTTAACACTGGAACTGTGAGCTTGGAAAGCTGTAAAGAAAAAAGCAGAAGAAACAGTATTTGCGCTGGACATGACTGTGCCCACAAAAAATAACAAAAGAATCTCGTGGGCTTCATAACCATTCCATTCTATGTATATGTGTTACAGGTCAAAATTAAATTTAGGACGTTACATTTTTTTTGATTCTCCCTTAGCCCTAATAATGAACTAGGGCTAGGAGACAAAGGACATTGAGAATCGACTGAGGTTAAAAAATTTTAACCTGAATTTCATTTTTACCTGTACATGATTTAATAAAAAAGCTATGGATAAATGTATATTAAAAACATATTGCTCTCTTGACAAATAAATACTTGAGTTAAGTTGTCAGTAATAATTTGGCTAAAAGAGACTGGCTGAACACTGCCACTTACCTGGCCTTTCTGTGCTTCTTCTCTCATATCAATTTCCACATCATCCCCTGGCTTGCTTCTTTTGGCTGCAGCTCCTCCTCCTTCAGCCTAAAACAAAGATGACATCATGAAAATTAATTATTTTTTTTAAGCATAATTCTCACAAAGTGTTACGGGGCTGTGTAGCATTAAATGGTCCAGGATTAGTTTACTAGTCCCAACCTCTTTTGAATACGGTAACTGACCTAATAAATGCCCGCTTCCCAATAAACGCCTCTTATCTAATAAACGCCCCCTCTATGCCGTTAAAATTGTATTGGATGCCCCTCTTTTAGTATCTAACAAATGCCGTCTATCAGAATTACTCCAGTGTACAAGGAATAATAGAAAAAAGAAGCAAAATCATTCAATTCATTTAGTTTCTTGCTTTATTAACAAGGCTATGCATATTTCATTTTGTTCAATGTCAAGTTTTAAGTAAGAATAGACTAACGATGGCAACACAATAACCCTGAACAAGGATTCTGACATTGATGTTGGGATTTGAAAGAGTCATATGGATCTCTGGACGGCCAAGCCGTATCAATTGATGGAGTGGATATTCCACTATTTTTAAACTCTCTTGACATTTTCACAGAAACCATATTAGTTTTGTTGAGCTTGTTACAGTTATGAGAATGAATGCCTCTCTCTTATAAACTCCTCCTATGTATTAAACCCCCCGCTTGGACCTCTAAAATTAAATAGACGATGCCCCAGGGGTTTATTAGGTCATTTAAGATGAGCTGAATATTTAGACAATATTTTTTCTTTGTTAACTGCAACATCCACAACACAAGAAAAATTCATGCTGGTCAGCCCTAATTTTCCCATGAACTACACTTCATTTACATGCTTGAGGTCCTTCCTTCCTTAAGTGTTCTCTTTATCAAGCCAAAAGTTATCCTAGAGCAACAACAACAACAACATATAAAACCCCTTCAATATTTTTTTATACCTTTCTTTTTGCAGCAGGTTTTCCAGCAGGATTATAATCATCAGGAAACACTACTTCCTTGAAATCCTTGATAGCCTCACCAGCCTTACGATCGATTGCTTCCATTTTTGGCTCTGCGATGAGAATAACAATTTATCATTAAAATTATTTATTTCAAGTCCCTAATTTTTCAAGAATTGATTTGGGACGTATAGTATAACTAGTGTAAGTTTTCTTTGTCATTGCCCCCCCAAAAGAAAAATCAAGTCAACAGGGACCATGGGATGATTTTTGCCAGTAAGAGTACATGCCATAAAGATAAAAATAAATAAATAAACAGAAGATAGGAAATATAAATTATCTATTGACTGTTATCAAAAGAGATCGTCCCCGAATCTTACTTTAGGGTATATAAGGATGCTGCACTTTTCTGGGTACATGACTGATCTGCACATTCGAGTTGGTACAAGATTCCTTTCATAACAACAAGAGGAGGCTGCAACAATAATATCGTTACCTGTGTAATCAATGACTTCTTCTGGTTCATCTCTGTCTAAAGCCAAAGCTTCAAGGTTCTTGAAGTGTTTTTGAAGAGCTACCAGAAGAGAAGAATAATAAGAGACAGTGTAAAACAGAGAAGACTATCAGGAACAACACAATTTTATTTGTCATTAAGTAATACAAAAAAACTTAAAACTTGTTAGTTGTAACAATTTAATAATTATATATGTACATTGCATGTAACTTACAAGGATTTTCAAACTGAGAACTGCTAAATCCAAGGGTGAGTTTCTTGATGACTTCTTTGGCTTTACTGATCTGTTCTGATGTGGCTGCANCTAAAGCCAAAGCTTCAAGGTTCTTGAAGTGTTTTTGAAGAGCTACCAGAAGAGAAGAATAATAAGAGACAGTGTAAAACAGAGAAGACTATCAGGAACAACACAATTTTATTTGTCATTAAGTAATACAAAAAAACTTAAAACTTGTTAGTTGTAACAATTTAATAATTATATATGTACATTGCATGTAACTTACAAGGATTTTCAAACTGAGAACTGCTAAATCCAAGGGTGAGTTTCTTGATGACTTCTTTGGCTTTACTGATCTGTTCTGATGTGGCTGCATGTACATTGTAAAAAATATTACAATAAATTTAAAAGATATGAATTAATAATAAAATAATTTTAATCCTGCAGGCATGAGAAGAGTCCATATCTAAAAAAGGGGATGGCATGGATCAAGTTTGAGAATCTTAAATCCAAACAAACAAAAACTACACATTTTCACAGCCAGTGCATTAGTACTATAGTATTGGAATGTGAGGATAACTTAACTTGCACCTGAATTCAGAAGCATTTGCTGTATTTAAACTCGATCCCACTATTAAAAAATGTACAGCATTAATCAATGATAGCTAGTGGCCCAGAAGCTTGTGTCTATATTAGACTCTTGGGGGTGGTGCAAGAAGTCACGTGAGAGCCGCACATGAAAGGAGATGCGAGCAACAACTACCATGTCTACATTGTACTTTGAGCATCTGGGCAGCCTCGCCATCAATTGGCTCGACCAATTGGTTTACAATACAGTGGAACCTGGATATAACAAAACTCTAGATACATAATTATGTGTAACAAAGTCCTCAGGATAACAAACAATATTCTTCACCCCAGCATGAGATAAAACAAAAAATATTATCATATTAGAACGTCAACAAAATGAAACCTCTTTACAGCAGTCATGCACATTTTTGCAGTCCCTATGGCCCTTTGTTATTTCAAGGGTTGATTGTAAGGATGGGGAATGGAGGGGAGGGGTTTAGGATTCTGTACAACATAATAAATTATTCTTTTGTGGTGTAGTTACCTTTAGGTGTCTCCTCATATTTCAGTCTCCTTAGGTCATCAGTAAATGGAAGAAAAATCAAATGGAATCCTGGTGGAGTAACTTGAATGTTGTGCTCTTCTAATTCTTCCTCCTTAATAAAAATAGCAAGAATTAAAATTTTACTTAAAATGTATTGTTGCAGAATCATTATACACAGTAATTTTAAATTTACAGGCTAAAAGTCTTTTTGTCCCATCAAGCTGAAGAGAAACATGGCACAAAGAGGTTATTTATCTACTGTCACACATCACATACCCCTAATTAATTACTACATCTGTTTAAAATAAGGTTTAAGTTCTAATAAGAAGGTTTAAAAAGGGGATCAAAGACAAATAATAAATAAATGCAAGTGTCAAACTAATGAGAATTTCAGGCACTGGGTGAAGAGGTCAAGGCAGCAAACTTGAAGTCAGAGGATCACTCCAGCTTCAACTCCTACTTGAAACATTCTCCCACAAAACACAGGCTGTATCGGATTAGCCAAGTCATACAACCATACATATATGTCACACATCCTTGTCTTGTACATTTGTAGCCCCTGGCATGGATTCAAGCAGCTGAGCAACATTGGAGAAAGCAAGTCTCTGGCACCTTAAACTATTAATCACGGTTTTAATTGACAGTTATAGAAGGAAATGGGGGACCCTCTGGAAGTCTGGTCTGAAAAGGGTTAAAGTGCATTAGATACATATTAATTGCTTCCAAATTGTAACTTGCAGTTGTGTTTCGTTGTCCCTCTCTAGCCTACAGGAGGATAACAAATCATTAATAACTGTTATTTAATAATTATTAATAATAATCAAGTCAAGTTATTCACCTGTGGTAACAGAGCAACAAATCTTGGTGGGGAGCCACTCCTGGGTATGTATCGGCATATCGGCACCACGTCCCTTGCAAGACATCTTTTCAAAAGTGCTGAGAATAATGTGGTACTTCCAGTTACACTCTGTGAAACAAGTTTAAGACTGGCCTTTAAATCTCATTCAAATAACACCTCTATAGGCACTAATATACCCAAAAGAACACTCTCTGTGCTGCCATGCGTCTTTTAGTTATTTAATATTATTTTTTATTGTTTCTCAATCAGAGGCCATTTTCATAATTTCTGGGTGGACATATACATTATTTTATAGTATTTTTTTCACAGCTGAGAGAGTAATAATTAGAACATTAACCAGTTTCAAACTGATGAGTTCAAAAACGGTTCTTGGGGTGTATAAAACAAATTTCTTAATTTTCTTATAATATTTATTATGTTAAAATGTTTCTTTCCACATAAACTTAAAAACTAGTCAGCAAAATACCCCTTAAGGATGGGGCCTTATAGACACTGGAGATTTTATAAGATGTTGGGGGCTAAATAGAAGAGTGACTCTATTTTTTGGACTCCATTGAACTTAATCATGGCATTTTTTTACATAACATTTTAATTTGTTGGTTTCTTGTATTTTGAATTCTTCTACACTGTAGTGCACACCTTTTCACTGGGATAAAGGAACTGGGCTGGTCTGATATGAAAATAGTTCTTCAATGAAGACTTAGGTTTAAATCCCATCAACAAAAGACCTGAAAATGATAACAAAATAATATTAATAAAAAACCAACCAAAAACCAGGCTAAACATTTTCTGTTACTAACAATGAAAGCGGAAAGAAATATTATCAATTACAATTTAATGGGTCAATTTCAAGGGTTCAGGGGGGTTTGGACAGCCCTTTAATAAATACACTCATAGGAGAAAATAATCCTGACCCCAATGAGTACATTAATGTCGACACTAGCTGAAAAGACCAGTAAAGCCTTTTTTGGGAGATTTTATAGTTTTGCACCTCCCCTCCCCCCTACCCCCCGACCTTCCCCCCAACTCTCATCAGAAACTCCTTGATCTGCCCTTTACTGATTACTAGTTGCTTGTAATCACACAGGTCAAAAAACACAGCTCTAGCTTAATCTGCAAGAGCCAAGGAAGCAGTAAATAATTAATGGTATGAACCAGTCAGATTACAGTATTTTTGGTATTGACAGCCAGTGTATCATACCTGGATCACCAAATGTCTTCATAGCAGTAACTTCTTCTTTCTCAAAGATGACCTGAATTTGAAAAAAATAATAAATAATATTATAGTGGAATATCTCCTTTTGGGCACCTCTATTCAAAACAGAGAAGACTATCAGGAACAACACAATTTTATTTGTCATTAAGTAATACAAAAAAACTTAAAACTTGTTAGTTGTAACAATTTAATAATTATATATGTACATTGCATGTAACTTACAAGGATTTTCAAATTGAGAACTGCTAAATCCAAGGGTGAGTTTCTTGATGACTTCTTTGGCTTTACTGATCTGTTCTGATGTGGCTGCACGTACATTGTAAACAAATATTACAATAAATTTAAAAGATATGAATTAATAATAAAATAATTTTAATCCTGCAGGCATGAGAAGAGTCCAAATCTAAAAAAGGGGATGGCATGGATCAAGTTTGAGGATCTTAAATCCAAACAAACAAAAACTACACATTTTCACAGCCAGTGCAGTAGTAATAGAGTATTGGAACATGAGGATACCTTAACTTGCACCTGAATTCAGAACCATTTGCTGTACTTAAACTCCCACTATTAAAAACTGTATGTCAGCATTAATACTATGATAGCTAGTGGGCCAGACGCTTGTGTCTATATTAGACTGTTGGGTGTGGCGCAAGAGGTCATGTGAGAGACGCACATGAAAGGAGATGTGAGTGCCAGCTACCATGTCTACATCATACTTTGAGCACCTGGGCAGCCTCGCCATCAATTGGCTCCATCAATTGGTTTACAATACAGTGGAACCTGGATATAACAAAACTCTAGATACGTATGTGTAACAAAGTCATCGGGATAACAAACAAAATTCTTCACCCCAGCATGAGATAAAACAAAAAATATTATCATATTAGAACCTCAACAAAATGAAACCTCTTTACAGCAGTCATGCACATTTTTGCAGTCCCATAGGCCCTTTGTTATTTCAAGGTTTGATTGTAAGGACGGGGAATGGAGGGGAGTGGTTTAGGATTCTGTACAATAATTATATTCTTTTGTGGTGTAGTTACCTTTAGGTGTCTCCTCATATTTCAGTCTCCTTAGGTCATCAGTAAATGGAAGAAAAATCAAATGGAATCCTGGTGGGGTAACTTGAATGTTGTGCTCTTCTAATTCTTCCTCCTTAATAAAAATAGCAAGAATTAAAATTTTACTTAAAATGTATTATGATCGCAGAAACATTAGAATTACGCTAAATTGTTTTTGAAAAGAATTATCGAACACTGCTACACAGTTTTTAAATTTACTGGCTTAAAGTTTTTTTGTCCCATCAAGCTGAAGAGAAACATGGTACAAAGAGGTTATTTTATCTACTGTCACACATCACATACCCCTAATTAATCACTACATCTGTTTAAAATAAGCAGGTTTAAAAAAGGGATCAAAGACAAATAATATTGCAAGTGTCAACTAATGATAATTTCAGGCACTGGGTCAAGAGGTCAAGGTAGCAGACTTAAAATCAGCAGATCACTTCAGCTTCAAGTCCTACTTGAAACATTCTCTCACAAAACACAGGCTGTATCAGATTAGCCAAGTCATACAACCATACATATATATCACACATCCTTGTCTTGTACATTTGTAGCCCCTGGCATGGATTCAAGCAGCTGAGAAACATTGGAGAAAGCAAGTCTCTAGCACCTTTAACAATTAAAACTATGGTAACATTTTAGATGACAGTTATAGACTGAGGATAGAGGGGGTGGGGGGGGGGTACCCTCTGGAAGTCCGGTCTGAAAAGGGTTATAGTGCATTAGGTACATATTTGCTTCCAAATTGTAACTTGCAGTTGTGTTTCGTTGTCCTTGTCTAGCCTACAGGAGGATAACAAATTAATAACTGTTATTTAATAATAATAACAATCAAGTCAAGTTATTCACCTGTGGTAACAGAGCTACAAATCTTGGTGGAGAGCCACTCCTGGGGATGTATCGGCAAATCGGTACCACGTCTCTTGCAAGACATCTTTTCAGAAGTGCTGAGAATAATGTGGTACTTCCAGTTACACTCTGTGGAACAAGTTCATGACTGGCCTTTAACTTTCATTCAAATTACACCTTTATAGGCACTTAAATATACCCAAAAGCACACTCTCTGCATGCATCTTTTAGTTATTTAAAGTTATTTTTTATTGTTTCTTAATCAGAGGCCATTTTCATAATTTCTGGGGGACATATACATGACTTTATAGTATTTTTTTTCCCTACTGAGAAAGTAATAATAATTTTTTTATTAGTACATTTACCAGTTTCAAACTGATGAGGTAAAAAAAAGTTCTGGGGGTGTATAAAACAAATTTCTTAATTTTCTTATAATACATTGTAATTATTATTTTAAAATGTTTCTTTCTGCATAAACTTAATGACTAGAAAGCAAAATACCTCTTAAGGATGGAGCCTTATAGACGCTAGAGGTCTCATAAGATGTTGGGGGCTAAAATAGAGAAACTACTCAAGTTTTTGGACTCTATTGAACTATTCATGGTATTTTTTAAAAAAATAATGTAATCAAGACATTTTCTGTGTTGATTTCTTCTATTTTAAATAAATTATTCTTCTACAATGAAGTGCGCACTTTTTCACTAGGATAAAGGAACTGGGCTGGTCTGATATGAAAATAGTTCTTCAGTGAAGACTTCGGTTTAAATCCCATCAACAAAAGACCTGAAAATGATAACAAAATAATATTAATAACAAAATAAAATGACTTTAATAAAAAACCAACCAAAAACCGGGCTATAAACATTTTTTGTTACTAACAATGAAAGTGGAATGATATATTATCACTAATATTATTACAATTTTATAATGGGTCAATTTCAAGGGTTCAGGGGGGTCTGGACACCCCTTACATACACTCATAGGGGAAAATAATCCTGACCCCACTGAGTACACCAATGTCACTTGCTAAAAAGACCAATAAAGCTTGTCTGGGAGATTTTATAGTTCTGGACCTCCCCTCCCCCCTCCTCCCACCCTCCCCCCACCACTCTCATCAGAAACTCCTTGATCTGCCTTTGCTGATTACTTGTTTTTTGCTACAAGTAATCAAACAGGTCAAAAAACACAGTTCTAGCTTAGTCTGCAAGAGCCAAGGAAGCAGTAGATAATAATTACTGGTATGAACCAATCAGATTACAGTATTTTCTGGTATTGATGCAGTTCCCTCAGTTGTGTTACAAACTGTTACAGTGTATCATACCTGGATCACCAAATGTCTTCATAGCAGTAACTTCTTCTTTCTCAAAGATGACCTGAATTTGAAAAAAATAATAAATAATATTATAGTGGAATATCTCCTTTTGGGCACCTCTATTCAAGGGATAACTCCATTCAGGGGACACAAAATTTGGTCCTGGAAAAATGTCAGTCACGTAATCTTTATATCTGTCGCCTTTACTGAAGGGACACCTTTCTTCAGGGAAAGGGACACTTTTTCTGCAATCGGCGACAGAATTGTTGTAGGATGATTTCAGAGAACAAAAGAATCTACACTCCTCCCCCTCCCCTCCATTCAAAGTTGGGGTGTTTGTTGTTTTCTGCAGGTAGCACGAACAACGGCACAACATTGCATGGAGAGGATGGGGGAGGACAAGCTTTAGTCACTAAAATGTCAAAAACCCCCTTTCAGGTAAAGTGTCTCAGCTATTTTTTTTTCTTGATTGTGGGTCCTAAAACCCAGGTTTAATAACCTCTATTCAGGCGACACCTTGGCACTCAAAACATGACTGACAAAAAAGAGGGTTGATAAGTTTAAAAGATTACATAGCCTATCTCACATAAATCAATGAACTGAAACTTGTGGGAATTCAACACACAATTTAATGCCAATAATTTACAAGTATTATATCTAGCTGCTTCAAATAATGACTGCAGCTGATTCCAAAGCAAAATAAATCATTTATTTTTTCTTTGCTGGTTAATCATTAAGAAACCCCACCCCAACCTCTAATCAGGGGACACTTTCCTCAGCCCCAAGGGTGTCCCATCAATAACGGTTCCAAAAATTATGCCAAAATGTACATTAAGTCAAGAAGGTGTTCTACGCACTTCTTTTTTTAATTACTGGTAAGCATTATATATACAGCCTTACTTTTTGGCCCCCAAACATCTGATAGAGTTTTATATCCGTTGGCATTAGCTCCCTTCCGGTATCCTATTAGAGATTCAAAATACATGTTATAATTTATAAAGATTGTGAGACCCCAAAATTAAAATAAAAACAATTGCTGCACACAAAATTTAATAAAAGTATCTTTGCTTAACTTACAGGTCCAAAAGTGAAATGCATGAGTGTTACAAATTTTAAATAATTTTTTAATGTCATGTTACTACATGTGTTATCAAGTTGATGAATAAGTACTCACCACACATATATACTTTGTGTGAGTTCTAATTTCCTCATTTGTGCGGCTGTCCAAATTTATGTGGCTGGATTTTTTTGCAGCTCCACAGAGGTTAAAACTGACCAGAAAACAAACATCCACAAAAATTAATTATGGGCAATGACCTAGCTACAGTTCTGTAAATAACATGTTGAAATTTTGTCCAATTATCACTGTGCATTTTAATTTTATGATGTTTTAAGCTACAATAATATATAATAGCGCAGAATTTGTCTGTCTTGCAAGGGCAAACATTGAGCTGGGCCCAGTTGTTCAAAGGCCGATTAGCACTTAACCCGGGTTTCCTTTTCTTATGTTCAAAAGTATTTTCTTGGATAATTTTCTCTGTTATTTTTAGGGCTTCCAATCATCAACCTGTAGACAAAAAGAATTAAAACTGAAACGCCTTTTAAGCTTTCAAATCTGAATTCAAATTGCGCACTAACCCTGGGTTATCTTAACCCAGCTTTGAACAACCCGGCCCAGGAAGTTAAAGTTCCATCAACTGGCAAACGTAGAATGCTTATTACTTACACAGAAACGCCAAGTTCAATCCCATCTCCCAGTGTCAAAGGAAATGTTGCCATGGGTCGTTTCTTGTGCTGCTTCCTCCTCACTCTGTTTTTGTAAAGAAAAGGCAACACAGTTTAATATTTTATTATTCAATGTAGCGGAAAGGACTTATATTATTGTACAATGTATCTTTCCAGGTTTTCAAGGTAGAATATCTGCACCATTGGTCTATATTGTTTTCTCATACAAGGAACTGCCTCACAAAATATTCAGAAGTGAATAAAAGACTATAAAACTAGTTACTGAAAAACAAGGATGGTTAAGTCAACAATCAATCATGTACCTCTACTTTAATATGATTTATTTTAGCTTAAGTTATAATGTTCTTATTTTTCTAGCTCATTTTATAATAAATCATTACAGCAAAATAATAGTTTCACTCCAAGGAGACTTCCAGATTATCCTTTCAAATAATATTCTTTATGTTTGTTATTAAAAGAAATGGAAAAATTTGACATGAGATTGAAACTCGCTTGGAGTGCCACTTTTAATACTCAATACCTAGAAAGTAGTTCTTCAAACTTCTCAGATGGATCAGGCAAAATCCCTTCTTCATCTTCATCCACTTGAATTAAATCCTGAAATGTGGAATGGCTAATGTGGAACAATAGATGACAGTTATAGACTGAGGATAGAGGGGGTGGGGGGGGGTACCCTCTGGAAGTCCGGTCTGAAAAGGGTTATAGTGCATTAGGTACATATTTGCTTCCAAATTGTAACTTGCAGTTGTGTTTCGTTGTCCTTGTCTAGCCTACAGGAGGATAACAAATTAATAACTGTTATTTAATAATAATAACAATCAAGTCAAGTTATTCACCTGTGGTAACAGAGCTACAAATCTTGGTGGAGAGCCACTCCTGGGGATGTATCGGCAAATCGGTACCACGTCTCTTGCAAGACATCTTTTCAGAAGTGCTGAGAATAATGTGGTACTTCCAGTTACACTCTGTGGAACAAGTTCATGACTGGCCTTTAACTTTCATTCAAATTACACCTTTATAGGCACTTAAATATACCCAAAAGCACACTCTCTGCATGCATCTTTTAGTTATTTAAAGTTATTTTTTATTGTTTCTTAATCAGAGGCCATTTTCATAATTTCTGGGGGACATATACATGACTTTATAGTATTTTTTTTCCCTACTGAGAAAGTAATAATAATTTTTTTATTAGTACATTTACCAGTTTCAAACTGATGAGGTAAAAAAAAGTTCTGGGGGTGTATAAAACAAATTTCTTAATTTTCTTATAATACATTGTAATTATTATTTTAAAATGTTTCTTTCTGCATAAACTTAATGACTAGAAAGCAAAATACCTCTTAAGGATGGAGCCTTATAGACGCTAGAGGTCTCATAAGATGTTGGGGGCTAAAATAGAGAAACTACTCAAGTTTTTGGACTCTATTGAACTATTCATGGTATTTTTTAAAAAAATAATGTAATCAAGACATTTTCTGTGTTGATTTCTTCTATTTTAAATAAATTATTCTTCTACAATGAAGTGCGCACTTTTTCACTAGGATAAAGGAACTGGGCTGGTCTGATATGAAAATAGTTCTTCAGTGAAGACTTCGGTTTAAATCCCATCAACAAAAGACCTGAAAATGATAACAAAATAATATTAATAACAAAATAAAATGACTTTAATAAAAAACCAACCAAAAACCGGGCTATAAACATTTTTTGTTACTAACAATGAAAGTGGAATGATATATTATCACTAATATTATTACAATTTTATAATGGGTCAATTTCAAGGGTTCAGGGGGGTCTGGACACCCCTTACATACACTCATAGGGGAAAATAATCCTGACCCCACTGAGTACACCAATGTCACTTGCTAAAAAGACCAATAAAGCTTGTCTGGGAGATTTTATAGTTCTGGACCTCCCCTCCCCCCTCCTCCCACCCTCCCCCCACCACTCTCATCAGAAACTCCTTGATCTGCCTTTGCTGATTACTTGTTTTTTGCTACAAGTAATCAAACAGGTCAAAAAACACAGTTCTAGCTTAGTCTGCAAGAGCCAAGGAAGCAGTAGATAATAATTACTGGTATGAACCAATCAGATTACAGTATTTTCTGGTATTGATGCAGTTCCCTCAGTTGTGTTACAAACTGTTACAGTGTATCATACCTGGATCACCAAATGTCTTCATAGCAGTAACTTCTTCTTTCTCAAAGATGACCTGAATTTGAAAAAAATAATAAATAATATTATAGTGGAATATCTCCTTTTGGGCACCTCTATTCAAGGGATAACTCCATTCAGGGGACACAAAATTTGGTCCTGGAAAAATGTCAGTCACGTAATCTTTATATCTGTCGCCTTTACTGAAGGGACACCTTTCTTCAGGGAAAGGGACACTTTTTCTGCAATCGGCGACAGAATTGTTGTAGGATGATTTCAGAGAACAAAAGAATCTACACTCCTCCCCCTCCCCTCCATTCAAAGTTGGGGTGTTTGTTGTTTTCTGCAGGTAGCACGAACAACGGCACAACATTGCATGGAGAGGATGGGGGAGGACAAGCTTTAGTCACTAAAATGTCAAAAACCCCCTTTCAGGTAAAGTGTCTCAGCTATTTTTTTTTCTTGATTGTGGGTCCTAAAACCCAGGTTTAATAACCTCTATTCAGGCGACACCTTGGCACTCAAAACATGACTGACAAAAAAGAGGGTTGATAAGTTTAAAAGATTACATAGCCTATCTCACATAAATCAATGAACTGAAACTTGTGGGAATTCAACACACAATTTAATGCCAATAATTTACAAGTATTATATCTAGCTGCTTCAAATAATGACTGCAGCTGATTCCAAAGCAAAATAAATCATTTATTTTTTCTTTGCTGGTTAATCATTAAGAAACCCCACCCCAACCTCTAATCAGGGGACACTTTCCTCAGCCCCAAGGGTGTCCCATCAATAACGGTTCCAAAAATTATGCCAAAATGTACATTAAGTCAAGAAGGTGTTCTACGCACTTCTTTTTTTAATTACTGGTAAGCATTATATATACAGCCTTACTTTTTGGCCCCCAAACATCTGATAGAGTTTTATATCCGTTGGCATTAGCTCCCTTCCGGTATCCTATTAGAGATTCAAAATACATGTTATAATTTATAAAGATTGTGAGACCCCAAAATTAAAATAAAAACAATTGCTGCACACAAAATTTAATAAAAGTATCTTTGCTTAACTTACAGGTCCAAAAGTGAAATGCATGAGTGTTACAAATTTTAAATAATTTTTTAATGTCATGTTACTACATGTGTTATCAAGTTGATGAATAAGTACTCACCACACATATATACTTTGTGTGAGTTCTAATTTCCTCATTTGTGCGGCTGTCCAAATTTATGTGGCTGGATTTTTTTGCAGCTCCACAGAGGTTAAAACTGACCAGAAAACAAACATCCACAAAAATTAATTATGGGCAATGACCTAGCTACAGTTCTGTAAATAACATGTTGAAATTTTGTCCAATTATCACTGTGCATTTTAATTTTATGATGTTTTAAGCTACAATAATATATAATAGCGCAGAATTTGTCTGTCTTGCAAGGGCAAACATTGAGCTGGGCCCAGTTGTTCAAAGGCCGATTAGCACTTAACCCGGGTTTCCTTTTCTTATGTTCAAAAGTATTTTCTTGGATAATTTTCTCTGTTATTTTTAGGGCTTCCAATCATCAACCTGTAGACAAAAAGAATTAAAACTGAAACGCCTTTTAAGCTTTCAAATCTGAATTCAAATTGCGCACTAACCCTGGGTTATCTTAACCCAGCTTTGAACAACCCGGCCCAGGAAGTTAAAGTTCCATCAACTGGCAAACGTAGAATGCTTATTACTTACACAGAAACGCCAAGTTCAATCCCATCTCCCAGTGTCAAAGGAAATGTTGCCATGGGTCGTTTCTTGTGCTGCTTCCTCCTCACTCTGTTTTTGTAAAGAAAAGGCAACACAGTTTAATATTTTATTATTCAATGTAGCGGAAAGGACTTATATTATTGTACAATGTATCTTTCCAGGTTTTCAAGGTAGAATATCTGCACCATTGGTCTATATTGTTTTCTAATACAAGGAACTGCCTCACAAAATATTCAGAAGTGAATAAAAGACTATAAAACTAGTTACTGAAAAACAAGGATGGTTAAGTCAACAATCAATCATGTACCTCTACTTTAATATGATTTATTTTAGCTTAAGTTATAATGTTCTTATTTTTCTAGCTCATTTTATAATAAATCATTACAGCAAAATAATAGTTTCACTCCAAGGAGACTTCCAGATTATCCTTTCAAATAATATTCTTTATGTTTGTTATTAAAAGAAATGGAAAAATTTGACATGAGATTGAAACTCGCTTGGAGTGCCACTTTTAATACTCAATACCTAGAAAGTAGTTCTTCAAACTTCTCAGATGGATCAGGCAAAATCCCTTCTTCATCTTCATCCACTTGAATTAAATCCTGAAATGTGGAATGGCTAATGTGGAACATACTTGTTTATACCATAAAATAAAACAGCAAGCACGAGTAAGACACTATAAAGAAAACACTAAACTTTTGGTTGTCAATGGCCAACATGTTAACTTCATCGGTCATTGTGGGTTAAATGATGGCAGACTGTGTACGTATTAGCCATCATTAATTTTACTGTCTGCCTCTGAGACACTCAAACCAGTTTTTTGTCTTGATACTGACAAAAAAAAGTTTACAAGAATTCTGCACACTTAGATTCCTTCAAACCAAATAATAACCTTTGTCTGGGACCAGAGTCAATTATAATTATACTATTAGCGCTAGATTGAAATAGTATCTTGATCCAGTCATTCTAAAACACATACGATAAATCAAGCTGTTTTTCCAGCTGTTTTTCCAGGATCCAACTTATTTGTTTTTGGTAAAGAAAAAGCTTTGATTTTTTATCATTGTTTCGATCCCAGGAAATTAAAATAACCCGGTTTGTTCTGTTTCAATAATAATTATTACAATTATTAAAAACTGTTTGTATGTACTGCTTAAAAAATGAACAGGAGTGTATTAAGAGGTTTCAAAACTAGAGGCGAAGCCAAGAGTTTTTAAACCCGATGATACCCTCCTGAGTTTTTAGAACGGCTTCAAAATCTCTGATATACAATGAAGATCAACTCAATCTTGCACTACTATTAAGATTGGGGGTTATTTTGGTCTAAAAAATTGGACATAAAGGTTAGCCCTGTCTTTATCAGATATTAAAGACACTCATTAGACATCAATTTCTTTTGTTTTTTCTTTATGAATTATTAACGGCTTTTTGAATAATTGGGGAATAAGGTACTTACCTGATAAAAGAGACTTGAGTCAAAGGAACCATCAGAAGGTTGAATATGCATCAGCTCAACTGCGATGCCAATCTCACTTAAATCCTGAAAAAAAAAAAAATTCGATGAATATCATTTTTTTATTAACGGTACATGTGCATAAATAACATAAATTACAATGTGGCTAAAATGTAATCTAAGCAAGGCTAAACACAGGACATGCTGGCCAGTGGCCTCCACATCTAATCATATGCAAGACAGTCTTTGGGCATTTGCAGCCAGCCTCAAAAATTTTACAACACTTAAATTGTTAGACAATTGATTTTGCTCACATTACCTTCCCATGCATTCATTTTAGCCGTTTTGCCCCCAGCCCTCCCTCCCTCTGGATGTGTCTTGGTACATGTAAGTATATATGAAACTCTCCACTATAAAGGTTCTCAATGTGACAGTGCATAGTAAATGACACTCACAGGGTTTTCATGGTTTATACATTCTGCGCTCACCTGTGGCTCACTCAGTTTGTCGAGGCATAGCACCTTCACCACACCCATCTTTAATTTTGGCAATGGGTTTAAATGTAAACAAATCATAATAATACTATTTTTGCAGGTTGACAAAAATAGTGGGCAAGGGTCAGTTTTTGTTTTACATGTATTTATAGCCTAGGAAATTGTTACAGAGAGTGACATTGACTTGCTTTCCCACTTAAACGGTATTCAATCAAACACACAATATTATTGCCACCATGACCGAAAGCCCTGCTATAACTGTTAATAACAACATCATGATGATCTTAAACGACACCTACCCTAGACTTGGTCTTTGCTTGTCTCTGGAAGAAGGCAACAAAAAAAGGGTTACATGTAATTCACCATTCTCAAGCTGGTTGTAACTAGTAACAGGGCAGGCCCAAATTTAATTGAAATCAAAAAATATTAATTCTGTTATTTTAGTACAGAAAATGGGTAGTAATTATACCATTATTAAAAAAAATAATAATGATAATTCTTTGCAGCATCCAATAAAGTGCTACCCTCAAGCATTTAAGGCATGGGAAATTTAATAAGCACCATATTAATTTTACCCTTTCTAAATTCAAGTGGATACATTGTAAATTGTATTCTTACCTGAAGGCTGGGGTTATCAGCATGTGGATTATCATTATTTGTGAACAACATGACTCGCTTGTGGCCAATTTTCTGAGAGCTACAATGTAACCATTTTGTACAAAAAAGGCGTAAATATAAGATACCTTTTCAATGTGTCAGCATTTTTTTAATGCTCCACTAAATGTAGTGAGGTACAGGAATATTCAGCCAGGTGGAACATAACTGACCCCTTATGTTCTGACGCTTTATTCACTGTGAGTTTCCAGCAACTCTCCGGTCAAGATATCCATGTCTGTAAAAATCAGTGTGGCTTTTGACTCCTGTTGGTTCGTAGGTCAGNATATTAATTCTGTTATTTTAGTACAGAAAATGGGTAGTAATTATACCATTATTAAAAAAAATAATAATGATAATTCTTTGCAGCATCCAATAAAGTGCTACCCTCAAGCATTTAAGGCATGGGAAATTTAATAAGCACCATATTAATTTTACCCTTTCTAAATTCAAGTGGATACATTGTAAATTGTATTCTTACCTGAAGGCTGGGGTTATCAGCATGTGGATTATCATTATTTGTGAACAACATGACTCGCTTGTGGCCAATTTTCTGAGAGCTACAATGTAACCATTTTGTACAAAAAAGGCGTAAATATAAGATACCTTTTCAATGTGTCAGCATTTTTTTAATGCTCCACTAAATGTAGTGAGGTACAGGAATATTCAGCCAGGTGGAACATAACTGACCCCTTATGTTCTGACGCTTTATTCACTGTGAGTTTCCAGCAACTCTCCGGTCAAGATATCCATGTCTGTAAAAATCAGTGTGGCTTTTGACTCCTGTTGGTTCGTAGGTCAGTGCACTTATGCCACAGGATCCCCACCCAGGTATCGCATGACGTTGTTTCAGTAGCATATATTACTACTTTCCTACACTCCGCAGGGTGGATACTCATTCATTACAGAGTGGCTGCAAACATTACAGTGTATATACCAGTCTCCCATGATAGAAATGACTACACCTTGGCAAGAAGTAATCGAAACTTAGTCCAGGATTTTAACTTAAGCAAGTTACATGTATAAGTGACAAGCATCCACCTCAACTCTCAAGCCAGCAACACAATCATGTACTCTTTCTTTTTTACCCAAAATTGGGCATCTACAGCACACCTACACATCCACTTGGCTACAAACCTTACCTAGGATCTCTGGATCTATTAACAGTGGGATCTACTTTTTAAACTTCAGTGTGCTGAGCATTCTTTTTCAGGCACTCATAGTACAGTACACATTAAAAACACCATTTCAAGAATTCGTACCTCTTGGCAAACATATTTGAGCATGTCCACAGAACATCATTCAGGGAAAATCCAGTGTTGTGTCCAAATTTGGTGGCAAAATTATCACAGCTGTCATCTGAAATAGATATTTAATGAAACAGGGGATGTTAGTAGCAAAGTTAAAGAAAGTGTGACACTGCATCAAATGAAATAATCTTCAGTGAACAAAGAGTTCAGAGGTAACCACAAAAAACAAGCTCAAAACATTATAACAATGGACTGAATGCCAGTTGTTGTAGTGTTCTTATACCTTCAAGAAATCTTTCAAGATCAAGGATCTTTTTGGCATCTGGCGAATCTAATTCCTGTAGATTTAAGACACAAATAGTTATTATCATACAGTTGTACCATTATCATTTATGACCCTGGTAAAAAAGACCAAAGACAAAAAGTGACCAGATTGAAAACAGTTGACAGTGATTATATAACAGTATAATTTCAATTTACAGTACATTATGTAAGTCAAGTTACCTGGTATATATAAATTTGCTTAAAGTCGCTTGAATTTTGGCTTTTGTCCTAGAAATATTAAAATAATACTTTCAATCATATCAGATCAAAACAGGGGTAGAATGTAGGTTAACGAACAAAAGACAAATCAAGGACTAGGGTTGGTATCTACCCTACAGAGCCATGTGTGCACTGTACCTGTACCCCTTTCGGGGAACTAATTTCACTTTTTTTACAATTACACTTACAGTTCCAAAGAATACAATGCCAATCTGGTCTTTGTCACTGCTTACGATTTTGTTCTTCAGGACGCTCACAGCACACTAATGAATGCAGAAATTAAAAACAAATAGGATAAGATCTTGACTAGAATACACTGTAGATAATTAACCCAGATGTTAAACATTTATGAACATGAAGTGATGGCTATAATATTAAATTAGAGAGAAAAATGTTTACTTACAAATAATTGGCTACAACAAATACAAAGTATCTGCTCATTCGAGGTACAGTTATGGCCTATTTGTTATTAAGCTACCATTCAATATTATTGATGGCATTAACAGTATAAAAAAAGCTGTTTATTGTAGCTACTTTCTGTAGTTTTAACAATGAAGCTAAATACTCTGTGGTATTATTTTGATACAAACCTTTATACACAGCTGAAATGGAATTTCTCCTCTTGACTTTTTGAACATTTCTCTGCAGCAGTCAATTACCAAAATTAGGCTGTCCCTATTGTCCCAGCGAGTCTAATAGAAATTAATGGGAATATTAATCAGTTTTTCCAATCTTTTGGATCTGAGAAGTTTCTTCATCAAAGTATTAAGGTAGGGATCAGAGCAATGGGGTCTGGATGGAGGGGTAGGGGTGAAGGCGTAGCAATTTTGGGGGTCTATAACCCACCCAAATAATTTTGTATTATTATACATAGTCTCAAGTGAAACACTGTATTGATAATTTATTTTTATCATACTGATGGTAATAACATTATTATTTCATTTATGATTGATGATGCATGCCTAGTATTTCTATTACCATGTATATTTTACAGGTCAAAATCAAATTCAGGTTAAATTTCTTAACCAGGTTAATTCTAAATTTTTTTGTCTTCTAGCTCTATTGCCCTAATTCATGAATAATTAGGACTAGGAGACAAAGGAAATTGAAAATCAACCTAGGTTAAAAAGTTTTAACCTGATTTTAATTTTGACGCTCAACATAATTATACAAATTAAGGCTGGTGATGATGGTGATGATAATGATGATGATGATGATGATGATCAATTTCTGTCGGCACCCTTTGAAAAAATGAAATCCGAAAGATTCATTGTTAGTTGGCACCTTTGAATGGGGTAGATAAAAAATTGAACGTCCCAAGCTGTTGCATCTCCAGTACACATTACTCCACTCCCATATAATTTTTTTATGACCTAACCCCTGATCCAAACGTAACACAATGTTCTATTGGATAATTTTTCGGGGGAGTTTAATCGCCGAGTCCAATCAAGCCATTTAAACTTGTTCGATTGGGTTCGATTTAAGCTTTAATGAGCGTAGAACGATCGAGCGTTCAGTCGATAAGGCTGTAACACGAAAAACCGAAATGGATTTGGTACATGTAGGAAAACAATACTAACTTGACGATCTGGATCGAAAGCATCATCTTCATCTTCTTCTCCAAACAATCCGGCCGTACTTCCCCAAAACGTTGATGACCAGTCAGACATTTTCGCTGAGCAAGTTTATTTGCTGATTTAGCAGAATTGTTTTCGGATGAAGATACTGCTAACTCCGAGACTGAACTCCGAGGCCCAGACCACCACAAATCTAGGCACGATTCACACGTAATCCTGTTCAAAAAAAGCAGCAGCCAATCGCAAGTAACTGCAGTTATTGTAGGACAAAAATCAAACCAAAAACTGAAGAATTTCCAATCAAAATAATTATGGTTTTTAGCTTCTTTGGTTTCCCGCCATGTCCGCCGCCATAACTCTATTCCCAGTCTCCCTCAACACCAGGAGACGTAAGTTTTTCGTTATGTATGCCACACCAAATGTCTTGATATAAGCAAAGCGCGGCCATTTTAATTTTTGCGCGAGCATGAAGACGTTAACGTTCCCCTTTCAAACTTTTTCCAGAGGTCTGAACAATTTTTATTCTAATCACTAGGGAGTGGTAATATCTTAAAAGATGTATAGAATGTTGGTAAGTATGTATTTTTCACCTTTCCTTTGCAAGTGGGCGCCAAGTCTTTGCCCAGTTTCTCCTTGGCGCTTATTGACCTTATTCACTGCTTATTCGATCCAGGTTTAGTATCCAGATTTAAGTTAGCTTATAGTCTGGAATAGTGTCACATTTGGAACGTAAGGAAGATAGCCTTAATTTTGAGGTTCTTCTCTTGTACCGTTTGCAATTTTCAGAGTTGGGCTGAAAAGTGATGGCGTTGTGGCCTCGACCCACTTGATCCCTCGTGGCCCTCCCCGCCTCTTCTTGACCGCCTTCAGTGGTTGCTTGAGGTCCCTAATACTCTTGCTCCCCAAAATTGAACTTTTTCTCGATTGGAGAACCTCGCGAAGCTCATGATCAGGTAAAAGGCCAGCAGTAGGGTAAAAGGGGAAAAAAGCCGTGAGAGAAAAAAATTACAAATTGCCTCCATTTTCTCCTAAAATTGCCTCTGCCATCGAAATACATTGTTAAAGGAATTCTTGTTGGCCAAATTGGCCGCAAAAACAACCAGGCCGAGTTTATTGCAGTTTTGTTTTCTTTACTCGTCGCAACCCATGCACCATTCACACACAATGTCAGTTTTGACAAAATTATAAACCTTGCTTTGAAAGGTGTCATTATAATAATCATTCAAAATATTTCTGCGCCTCTGGTTGGTTTATGGTGAAACTCACAAAACTGCAAACACCAGAAGTATCTATGGAATGTTAATGTGTTGTGAGGAAAAACCAATATGGTGTTAAAAAACTAAACTAAACAACAGTAATGTAATTATTTTAGGGGGTAGTGAGGTTTGCTTGCATGTTCCAAACTTGTGATTGCTCACTCATTCTAGTACTCTGAGTACTAGAATGAAATTCTCGATCGGGGCAGGCCCTAATAGAGGCTTGTACAGTGGCAAATGTTGGCAAACATGAGATGAAGGAGACTGACAAAAAATGCTATCAAATCTCAGTTTTAGTCATTTCCACGCGAACTTGGACAACCGGCCCAAAAAGCACCTTGCACCTATCCTGGAGTCGAAACTTCATCCCTGTCCACTTAGAGATATTATTTTCCCAATGCTTCTTTTGTTGGCCCCTTCTTCTCCCTCCTTGCACTGTTGCTTGTAAAATTGTCTTGGCATACCCTGCTGATCTTTGTACATGCCCAAACCTCTTTCACTTGCGTTTCTTTACCGTGGTTAATATATCATCATAGGGCTCATTCGCTTGCCTGATTCTGTCTCTGACTGCATTGTTGGTGATGTGGTCAAAAATGCATTTTAAAACCACTAGTCAGCCGGCGTCATCAAAGGGTTAATGGCTGTTGGTGTAGCTTGTCCATATCATCCGTGCCTCTTAAACTTCAATGTATTCATATATCTAGTCACAATACTTTGTAACTTAGAATTTTTGACACTTTCTTTACTTTTGTACTAGATAACTTCTCTTCTGATGACACCAGCTTGTCATCTTATTAAGAAGCACATGAGTCAAATTACTGTCGGAAAGTATTCAGTGTATACGGAAACCACGAAAGGCATGGCATGGTTTTGGACAGACTTCGTTTTGCAAGCCACATTGACAACCTGAATGGTGCAAAGCCAGTTACAATCAAATTCAATGGTGTTGAGGCTAAGGTAAAGTACAATCGTATTAAGTACACATGTATGTGACATGCAATTTACAGGATGCAGTCGCCTTGTGGACTGGCATCTTGCTGTTTGCAGACAGACTATACCAATGGTCTAGACAATGCATGGGCCAGCTGCAATGCACACTATGGTAAAGGGATTTAATGTATGCCTTAGTGAACCTTTGAATCGAGCTATGCCAGTGGTAGCCAACTCTCGGCAAGTATATTCATACTGGAAAGGTCGAGGAAGGGGTGAGAGCCAGGTCAGACGAGGTACTGTCCAATGTCACAGGTCTCGAGCCTTGAAGAGGAAATGATCTATGACCACTTTGGAAAACTTATTGACACGGTTGCTTGAGCTTGTCCTCCCTTTTGTTGTTAAGAAATCATTCAGTACGGAAACCGACCACACTGAAGAAGGGTTTCCAACTCGAACATGGTTATGTCATAATGACAAGGAAATTGATGCCTGTGAGGTATATTAGTCTCTTTGAAGTTCTGAGTGAGACTGGATCAGTACATTGGGTACAGTGGCGGTTCTTTAACTGGCTATATACAGCGATTTTCGTACGACCGTGAAAAATGGTTTCGGTAAGTGTTCGTTATTTGTTTTATCAGGGAAAAGATCAAAACATGGACTCTTCGTTTTCCCGCCAAAGAAAACCCTAATATGGAGAAGGCATGATTCGATTGGCCAATCGTGTTGCCGTATGATGTCAAAGCGAAGTATCGATTGATTTCTAGAAAGTTCTCGGGCATGAAGTTTTTTCACCCGAGAAACAACCAAAAACCACGCGCGTTTGTATCTGTTCGATAAACCAATCAAATCGCTCTATTTCCGTTCGTTTGTTGTTTCTGTTTTGTGCGCGCGTTTTCATTTCAAGGTCATAAGAAAATCGCTCTATTCTCCCGCGATGGGGACAAAACGACACGTTAATGACCTCTTCCCGAGGTGAGTTCACAGTGGGATTGATTCCTATTGCTATGGAAATGCTAAAATGTTAAAATGTTATTCGATTGAGCACCCAGACTCGAATAAGTGCCCTTCCTGCAGGAAGGAAAAGTTAATAATCGCCCAGCCTCGAATAAGCTCCCACCCCACCCACCACCCTCCCGCTCGCCATAAAAAGAGCTAAAGTGGACAAAAAGAGGATTGGTTATTATCTCTTAACTGCCATATCAGCTTCTCGTTGACTGACCCATTTGCAGACGTTACACTGTGAGACATCTACGTGGCAACACTAGAGCATTCGCTTATTGACCTTACTGACAATGAGATAGAAATTGACTATTTGCTATTTAGAGACTTCGCTGAAGACCGAATTCTTAGCCTTTTTTAAAAATAAACTTTCAATGCACAGTTATAATTCTGCCCTAGCACATCTTCACGTTTTGTTATTATTGACTGTTTTTTTTTAAATTTAACTTACTACTTGCAGTAATTAATGAAAATTTAATAAGCGCTCAACCTCGAACAAGCGCCCACCTCGAGTAAGCGCCCATTATCAAAGCCCAAAATTTTAATAAGCGCCCAGGGCGCCCAAACGAATATTTGCGGTTGTTGGTTTCTGAACCCCACGGTGAAACAACCTGTTGGTAGAAGGCTATGAAATGCTTTGCGTTAAAGACTCACAACGCTCAGTGGATACTGCGATAATAGGAAGATTTAGAAAATACGAGACGGTAGTAACGGCGAAGCGCGCAGATCTGAAAATGGAGTTGACCAATGGCAGAGCAGTAAATCGAGAACCGAAAATCGCGTTCAATCATTTTCGAGCGCTTTCGCGTTCTCATTTGTCGTTAGACCTCCTTATAGTAATTATTAGAGTAATTATTATCACGTTTACGTCAGTTTCAAGTTGAGAATTTCTTAAAATAAAAAAAAAGCAGATAAAAACTGTCCAGAACAATTCTTATGTATAAAACTGGCGTGAAACTACTTTTTTTTGAGTAGAAGTATTAAACAGTTAACGACAATTAAGGGAAAAAACTTGGTCACGTGGTACAAATTCACCTTTGCCGTTTGACCCAGTAAACAACTATTTTGTAGTGGCTTTGACCTGGGTGTGTAAAACACTAAAATGTGTTATATTACAGTTGTAGCGCTGGAAACGTACTGCGTTGCCTAAAAGCAAGCTCTCCTATTTAAGCGAGCGAAGCGAGGCGCGAGGGGCCGAGGAAAGGACTCTCTCCCCCGCCCCCGCTTGCGTGTTTCCTCTCGCGTGCCTCTCGCGCGCCTCTCGCGCGTCTACTTTCCACGATACGTACTGCGGTAAAATTGCTTTTCCGCGGTGTGAATAAACGCTATGTTCACACTTTACCGGGTAGTTTATTTTGCTGACACTAAAAGCTCTCCAGTATAGTATGAACACCTATCCGATATGTGACTCTCCACTTTAGAGATCGGCGCAGCGCAGCTTCGCTCCGTCACAGAAATCGCGCCGAAATCACCGTTCTAATGTGTGAACAGAAGCCCTCTCCGGTATTGTTTCTGCGCCGGCGTAAAAGCTACCCGGTATACTGTGAAAAAAGCCTCAGACTGTTTTCTCATTGCACCTTCTCATCTTCCATTACAGACCACACAATATTCGCCATATATGGAGTCATGATGGAGTACGATGCCTCCGCTGACTTATTCAAAGTTGTAGGTAGGACTCTCTCATCTGTGTATATTCTAATCACTAGGGAGTGGTAATATCTTAAAAGATGTATAGAATGTTGGTAAGTATGTATTTTTCACCTTTCCTTTGCAAGTGGGCGCCAAGTCTTTGCCCAGTTTCTCCTTGGCGCTTATTGACCTTTTTCACTGCTTATTCGATCCAGGTTTAGTATCAAGATTTAAGTTAGCTTATAGTCTGGAATAGTGTCACATTTGGAACGTAAGGAAGATAGCCTTAATTTTGAGGTTCTTCTCTTGTACCGTTTGCAATTTTCAGAGTTGGGCTGAAAAGTGATGGGGTTGTGGCCTCGACCCACTTGATCCCTCGTGGCCCTCCTCGCCTCTTCTTGATCGCCTTCAGTGGTTGCTTGAGGTCCCTAATACTCTTGCTCCCCAAAATTGTAATTTTTTTAGATTGCAGAACCTCGCGAAGCTCATGATCAGGTAAAAGGCCAGCAGTAGGATAAAAGGGGCAAAAAGCCAAGAGAGAAAAAAAATTACAAATCGCCTCCATTTTCTCCTCAAAGTGCCTCTGCCATCGAAATACATTGTTAAAGGAATTCTTGATGGCCAAATTGGCCACAAATACAACCAGGCTAAGTTTGTTGTGGTTTTGTTTTCTTTACTTGTTGCAACCTATGCACCAACCACACACTATGCTAGTTTTAACAAAAATAGTTATAAACCTTGCTTTGCAAGGTATCATTCTAATTCATTCAAAATATTTCTTCGCCTCTGATTGGTTTACTTTGAAACTCACAAAACCGCAAGCACCACAAGTATCTGTGGAATGTGAATGTATTGTTAGGAAAAAACCAGTACGGTGTGAAAAAAATAAACCGCAAACAGTAATTAGTTTAGGGGTGGTTAGGTTTGCTTGCATGTTCCAAACTTGTGATTGCTCACTAAACAGTGAACTTTCCTGAAATCTTTCACATGTTCGCAGTTTTCTCTGGTTTACTTTTACAAAACAATTCTTGATGGGGGCAGGCCCTAACAGAGGCTTACAGTGGCAAACATTGGCAAATGTGAGATTGAGGAGGCTGAAAAATGCTATCAGATAACAGTTTTAGCCATTTCCATGCAAAAACTTGGACAACCGGCCCAAAAAGCACCTTGCCCTATCCCATAGTCATGGTGACTGTTGGAGCGCCACGAACCCAGCAACCCTTTCCCTCCATTTGATTTTGTTTTCAGCTTCTCTTAGGGTGTCGCAAAACTGTCCACTCAGAGACATTATTTTCCCAATGCTTCTTTTGTCAGCCCCTTCTTCTCCCTCCTTGCACTGTTCCTTGTAAAATTGTCTTGGCAAGCCCTGCTGATCTTGATACATGCCCAAACCACTTTCACTTGCGTTTCTTTACGGTGGTTAATACATCATCATAGGGCCAAATGGCTTGCCTGATTCTTTCTCTGACTGCATTGCTGATGATGTGGTCAAAAATGCATTTTTTGACCACTAGCCGGCCGGCGTCATCAAAGGTTTAATGGCTGTTGGTATAGCTTGTCCATATCATTCGTGCCTCTTAAACTTCAATGTATGCACATACCTAGTCAAAAATACATTGTAACTCGGAATTTTTGAACCTTCTTTACTTTTGTAACAGATACCTTCTGTTCTGATGACGCCAGCTTGTCATCTTATTAAGAAGCCATGAGTCAAATTACAGTCAGAAAGTATTCAGTGTATACGGAAACCACAAAAAGAATGGCATGGTTTTGTACAGACTTCCGTTTTGCAAGCCACGTTGTCAACCTGAATTGTGCAAAGCCAGTTACAATCAAATCCAAAGGTAAAGTACAATCATATTAAGTACACATGTATGTGACATGCAATTTACAGGATGCAGTCCCCTTGTGGACTGGCATCTTGCTGTTTGCAGATGAACTATACCAATGGTCTAGACAATGGGTGCGCCAGCTACAATGCAGGCTATGGTTAGGGGATTTAATGTATGCCTTAGTGAACCTTTGAATTGAGGTACATCGGTGGGAGGCAACTCTCAGCAGGTAAATTCATACTGGAAAGGTTAGGGGAGGGGTTCAATGCCACAGATCTTGAGCTTTGAAGATGAAATGATCTGTAACCACTTTGGAAAACTTATTGACGCGGTTGCTTGCGCTTGTCCTCCCTTTTGTTGTTAAGAAATAATTCAGTATGGAAACCGACCACACTGAAGAAGAGTTTCCAACTTGAAGATGGTATTCGTAATGACAAGGAATTTTACACCTGAGAGGTACATTGGTCTTTTTGAAGTTCTGAGTGCGAGTGGATCAGTACATTGGGTACAGTGATGGTTCTTTAACTGCCCATATAGAGCGATTTTCGTGTGACCTTGAAAAATGGTTTCGGTTTAAGGGTTTGTTATTTGTCTTATCAGGGAAAGATCAAAACATGGACTCTTCGCTTTCCCGCCATAGAAAACCCTAATATGGAGAAGACATGATTAGATTGGCCAATCGTGATGCAGTATGATGTCAAAGCGAAGTATCGATTGATTTCTAGAAAGTTCTCGGGCATGAAGTTTTTTCACCCGAGAAACAACCAAAAACCATGCGCGTTTGTATCTGTTCGATAAACCAATCAAATCGCTCTATTTCCGTTCGTTTGTTGTTTCTGTTTTGTGCGAGCGTTTTCATTTCAAGGACATACGAAAATCGCTCTATTCTCCCGCGATGGAGACAAAACGGCGTGTTAATGACCTCTTCCCGATGTGAGCTCAGAGTGGGTTTGATTCCCATAGCTATGGAAATGCCAAAATGTCAAAGGAAGTGACTATGACATTTACCGGTATTTATTCGATGAGCACCCAGACTAAAATAAGTGCCGCTCCTGTAGGAAGGAAAAGTTAATAAGCGCCCAGCCTCGAATTAGCTCCCACCCCACCCACCACCCTCCTGCTTGCCAAAAAAAGAGCTGAACTGGACGAAAAGAGGATTGGTTATTATCTCTAAAATGTCATATCTGCTTCTCTTTGACTGACCCATTTGCAGACGTTACACTGTGAGACATCAGTCTACGTGGCAACACTAGAGCATTTGCTTATTGACCTTACTGGCCATGAGATAGAAATTGACTAGGTGCTACTAAGAGACTTCCCTGAAGACCGAATTCTTAGCGTTTTTTGAAAATAAACTTTCAATGCTCAGTTATAACTCTGCTCTTGCACATCTTCAAGTTTTGTTATTATTTCCTGTTTTTTTTTTAAATTTAACTTACTACTTGCTGAAAATAATGAACGTTTAATAAGCGTTCAGCCTCGAACAAGCGCCCTCCTCGAGTAAGCGCCCATTATCAAAGCCCAAAATTTTAAAAAGCGCTCGGGGCAACCAAACGAATATTTACGGTTGTTGGTTTTTGAACCCCATGGTGAAACAACCAGTTGGTAGAAGGCTATGAAATGCTTTGCGTTTAAGGCTCACAACGCTCAGTGAATACTGCGATAATGGGAAGATTTTGAAAATACGAGACGGCAGTGACGGCGAAGTGCGCAGATCTGAAAATGGAGTTGACCAATGGCAGAGCAGCAAATCGAGAACCGGAAGTCGCGTTCAGTCATTTTCGAGCGCTTTCGCGTTCTCATTAATTTTGTCGTTAGACCTCCTTATAGTAATTGTTAGAGTAATTATTATCACGTATACGGCAAACGGCAAATGTCAGTTTTAAGTTGAGAATTTCTTAAAATAAAAAAAATAAGCAGATGAAAACTGTCCAGAACAATACTTATGTATAAAACTGGCATGAAACTACTTATTTTTTAGTAGAAGTATTAAACAGTTAACGACAATTAAGGGAAAAACTTGGTCACGTGGTACAAATTCACGTTTGCCGTTTGACCGAGTAAAACAAACTATTTTGTAGCCGCTTTGACCTGGGTGTGTAAAACACTAAAATGTGTTAGATTACAGTCGTAGCGCCGGAAACGTACTGTGTTGCGTACAAGCAAGCTCTCCTATTTAAGCGAGCGAAGCGAGCCGCGAGGGGCCGAGGAAAGGACTCTCTCCCTCGTCCCCGCATTCGCGTTTCCTCTCGCGCGCCTCTCGCGCGTCTACTTTTCACGATCATACTGCGGTAAAATTTCTTTTCCCGTGGTGTGAATAAACGCGATGTTCACACTTCACCGGACAGTTTATTTTGCTGACACTAAAAACTATCCAGTATAGTATGAACACCTACCCGATATGTCGCGCCTAAATCACCGTACTTTTGTGTGAACAGAAGCCCTATCCGGTATTGTTTCTGCGCCGGCGTAAAAGCTATCTGGTATACTGTGAAAAACGCCTCATACTGTTTTCTCATTGCACCTTCTCATCTTCCATTACAGACCACACAATATTCGCCATATATGGAGTCATGATGGAGTACGATGCCTCCGCTGACTTATTCAAAGTTGTAGGTAGGACTCTCTCATCTGTGTCTTTGTTCTCTGTAAGCTTACCGCTGACACCAGACTTGTTTCTGTTCGTAAGCTTAAGTATCACGGGTAAAGTTGCTGTATGCGGACGTCTTTTGTGCGCGTTTCCTAAATGATCTGTTGTTGTTTTTTTGTTGTTAACTTTAGGCAGTGCGCAGTGAGTTTTGTTGCGGGTTTCAAGGATTCCTCGAGAACGATTGTATTCCTCAATTATGCGTCCTATCCCCTGAAAAGCATAATTATAACCATATGAAGTCTTTAATGTAGTATAAGTTATGCGACTATTCGTGTTTGGGTGGTGTTGAAGCAGTTCTCTGTATTCTAATGATAAATTGTCGTCAAATATTTCCTTATCATGGGCGTTGTATAATGGTTGACTGAGACTCAGTGAAGAAGGGCCGGAATTCGAACGGAATTCGCTGCCTTTGTCATCGACAACCGGGCTAGTTGAAGGTGGACTGGGCACTGCCGAAAAACTTTCCTCTTCGTCTCCAGTCCCACTCGTCAACTCAAAGAAGTTACAACNACTGTTTTCTCATTGCACCTTCTCATCTTCCATTACAGACCACACAATATTCGCCATATATGGAGTCATGATGGAGTACGATGCCTCCGCTGACTTATTCAAAGTTGTAGGTAGGACTCTCTCATCTGTGTCTTTGTTCTCTGTAAGCTTACCGCTGACACCAGACTTGTTTCTGTTCGTAAGCTTAAGTATCACGGGTAAAGTTGCTGTATGCGGACGTCTTTTGTGCGCGTTTCCTAAATGATCTGTTGTTGTTTTTTTGTTGTTAACTTTAGGCAGTGCGCAGTGAGTTTTGTTGCGGGTTTCAAGGATTCCTCGAGAACGATTGTATTCCTCAATTATGCGTCCTATCCCCTGAAAAGCATAATTATAACCATATGAAGTCTTTAATGTAGTATAAGTTATGCGACTAGTCGTGTTTGGGTGGTGTTGAAGCAGTTCTCTGTATTCTAATGATAAATTGTCGTCAAATATTTCCTTATCATGGGCGTTGTATAATGATTGACTGAGACTCAGTGAAGAAGGGCCGGAATTCGAACGGAATTCGCTGCCTTTGTCATCGACAACCGGGCTAGTTGAAGGTGGACTGGGCACTGCCGAAAAACTTTCCTCTTCGTCTCCAGTCCCACTCGTCAACTCAAAGAAGTTACAACAATCTTTTTCCCCGCCTTGTTCGCTGGTTAGCATTTTATAATCTTCTGACAGTTGACTTGAAAAGGAGTCTTTCCTTCCCTGATATTCCGCTCCGCTGTGTCCGTTTTTTGAAACGACTAGCGATCGTCGGCCATTTTTAATGCTGCTGCATATAGAAGTAGAACTTCCAAAATCATTACTGTTTGTGTTAAGATTCAGGCTTGCACTGCAATCAATGTCCAAGTCACTCTCTGTTTCTGAGTCACTAGATCTCTGCTCTAACCACCATCCGTTGCTAGGCAACACTTCAATTTCACTTTTATCAATTTCCAAATTCATCTGAATCTGTCCTCTCTTTTTACATTTACCTGATAAAAATTTCGTAGAAATTGGACGCGGTTCCTTTGCATAAAACGTTTTATTTATTCCTGATTTATATTTTCCTTCGCGAGAACAACTTGCTTTGGAATCTGCTAGTTCTCTCGTAGCCTCAGTGTTAAGATATTTCCTTGAAAGCTTTTCACTATACTCTTCTTTTACAGAGCTGCATTTGCCCGCCCTTTCTAGATCGCTTCCATCTTTCAATTTCTCACTCGTGGGCGTTCTCTGAATGCCTGCCTTTAGTCTAACTTCATGTTTTCCTGCGCTGTTGAGAAGACCGTGAAGCTGTTTTGATAAACAATCCCGTTTATCTCTTCTAAGCAAGGCATCCAGGTTATCACAAAGTCGTTCCATAGAAATTCTAATCTGCTGCGAGTTTTCTTGATAATAAACGCTGGCCTGCGTTGAAGGAAATAATTTCCAGTCCATTTTAGGTATTTAAGGCATTTTAGATAACGTTACTAACCGGCAGAACTGACAACTTAATCAAGTATTCCATTTATGATATTTGCCAATCCACCTGCCAGTTATAATCTTCTGGATAAATATCGTTTCTGGACCTTAAGGAATCCCTTATTGACTTGTACTCATCGATATTTGTTCAGTGAATTCAAATATTACATCAAGTAATTCACTTTATCGCAATTTTCTGTATTAAACTGTATGCAAAGTTAATCACTGCCACCTGCCAGTATACATATGAAAATATTCACAGCATGTCCCGATTTTTCTTTCTTGAATCCTTGTCGTAAGGATTTATCACGAAACTGTCTCTGGATCAAAATTTTCATCAGTTTAAAATGCGTTTATGCAATTTATACTTAAGATAAACTGAAATTTATACTTAAGATAAACTGACAAAGAATAACTTCCTTTTGAAATGTTTCAGTGGCAAAAGGTTCAAGTATAATTATCACTTCTAAAGCACTTCCTGTAAGCAACTCGTTATCAGCTTCTTTAAAGCCGCGTCCAATTAGATGTGACAGCTTTAGTGTTCCGACGGCTTTTCTGGATTTACCTTATAATTGCTTGGTCATTCTGACTTCTTAATGTTCTTTAACTGAGAAAAAATTTCGCTCGGAATTTTAATGTTCCGACAAAAATGTTTTAACCTTTATCGGTAAAATAGAGAAATAAAGGTAAAATAAGGCATCTCTAAGAGAAACAATTCTTTATAAAAAACAAAACACAGAACACAAAGCATGATGCAGCAACAACAAATTCAGCAACGTGATACATTGTAGTAGTTTTAAAAATCGTCTTCGAATCTTAAATTGAAGGCTACTAACATGGAACTACAGTTGTGATCTAGAGCTCTCTTCAGAGCTCAACGAACCCCCTATCCGTCCACTTCTTATACAGCATTTTGCTTCACGCCCGACTAGTACAATCCATAAAGTCGATAATCGATAATAATCGATAACTATCGACAAAATCGATTAATTGATTTGAAAATCGATGAATATCGATAGAGGAAAAAGTTGTTGCAAATCGAAGATTACCGATTTTTATCGAAGTTATGGATTTTAGTCGGTGCTCAGTTAATTTCCATGTGTTTTAGCGATAGTTGAACCCTACAATGTATATTTCAAGTGGTTAGGATACTCCGGTTCAGTGTAAAGTTTGTCAGTCAGCAAGACGCTTGCTTCTTCAAAAATCATATTGCAAAGCGTCATAAAAATCATCCTGTAAATGTTCAAAACAAATTAGGTAATCAAATGGAAAGAGAAGTAGCATGACCAAAACGTATGATAACGCTAATCGCTATCTGTTCGCAGTTTTTCAAACAAGGCCCAGTTTTCAATGCATGATTGGGTTTTGACCCTCGAAGGCAATGAAACTGAGATCGTGAAATCGATGATATCGTTAAAATCTATGGCGCTAACAACGAAAACAGTTGTTGCTATCGATTTCTATCGATTGATCGATACAATCGATGTCAATAAAAAAGTGACTATCGACAATTATCGATTTATCGAGTGGTCATCCGATATCGGTTTTTATCGATTGCACTAGCCGGACCTCACGGAAGAAAACGACGCTTCATTTTCTTTGCAAGTAAAGGGCAAGAACTGTGAAAATGAAGGAAAGCCCAGTTGCACTACCGCGGACGGCGTTTGCATTGTAGCTCATTGTTACAGAAAAGCATTTGGCATCTTGGCACGGCTCCTTTTCATGCAAGCATTCTCGGTCAATACATTTCGGTGACGTTGCCAAGACCGCTCGTACCACGTGACCAGAAACGCATGGGCCGCGCGGAATAATGAGACATACGGACTAGGCAAGCTTCAAGCAAGATTAATAATCTGAGTTTGGCGTGCAGTGGAAGGAAAATAATGGAAAGCATCGCGAAAGACATTAAGCACAAACACAGTAAGTCTGTTGATCTTGATTTATTTCAACTGAAATCTTTGTAACCAATGGAAATCAAGAAAAATATTCAATTTTGCAACATAGACAGCAGTAATAGCACCAAATTTAAATATATTTTTTATTTATTTTCCCCATCATACATGTACTTTAATAGTCGTTGTTCAGAAACCCATGGTTCGTTGCCAGAATTCCTGTTACAAGCAAAAGAGACCTAGGCTTGATCTAGACTGCAAAACAGTCGGGTTTTTTCTCTCGAAATCAGTAAAGAAATCGGTAAAGCGTGGCGCAAGAGTCTTACGCGCGCGAAGCGTGCAAGCCTCACCCGCCCGTGCCCCCGCCCATAGCGCGTGTGAGGTGAGAGAAAAAAAAAACGTATTTTTATTGTCTCTCCCCAGTCTCGCTCTCTGTTTTTAGCCTCGTTCCAGACCTTTTGTTTGACTGCTCGCGAGTACTTGAATACGCAAAAATACGCGCTGTTTCGCAGTCTAGACTTGATCACTCCATGAATTGAACGTAGGAAAAAGGTCTAACATTTAGCACAGAACAACTAGGCAATATATTTCTATTGAGAGACTTGATTCCCTCTGTTTTCAGTCGTCTGAAAGGTCACGCTGAAAAGGAAAGCAAAAGTTTCCACGTCAAAGGAAAAATAACACCAACAGAGCTGGGGTCCAGGCAAACCCAAGACAGAACAGCAGAGATTTGAGAGGTGAGGTATATCCTTTATTAAATTTTTAGACATGAAACATGCGAAAATGCACTTTTCTTTTCGAACACAATATTGCACCTAGACTGACAACAAGATTGCTCTTTGCCTCCATTTAGTCTTTTAAAAACTCTGGCAATGTGTAGTTAAAGTTGGATAAATACCATAACATTTTGTCTATATTCCGTATCTAGAGTTTCTCTCCCTCTCTCTATTTGGAAGGCCTCCTTTGTTCGAGCCCCGAGGGGGGAGGGGGTGAAGAGGGGAGTCAGAGGTTCGAATCCTGTCAGTGACTCAAGAGGTTTTTCTTTGTCCTTTGTTCATGACATATGCTTATTATCACATCTTTCACATTCTTGATTTCAAAACTGCAACCATTATTTAAGGCACTCAGAGTATAGCCATTCTATTAGTCGCATGTATAATGCACCGATTCCAGAATCAACCGGATGTAGCTTGTAAGCGAGGCTTAATTATTGTTTTGGAACCGATTCCAGAATCAGCCGGATGTAGCCTGTAAGCGAGGCTTACTTATTGTTTTTGAACCAATTCCGGAACTACTAGAAGTAGCATGTAAGCGAGGCTTAATTATTATTTTTGAACCGATTCTAGAATCAACCGGATGCAGCTTGTTAGCGAGGCTTAATTATTGTTTTGGAACCGATTCCAGAATCAGCCGGATGTAGCCTGTAAGCGAGGCTTAATTATTGTTTTTGAATCGATTCCGGAACTACTGGAAGTAGCATGTAAGCGAGGCTAAATTATTGTTTTTGAACCCATTTCAGAAAAAGCCGGATGTAGCATGTAAGCGAGGCTTAATTATTGTTTTTGAACCGATTCAAGAATCAGCCGGATGTAGCCTGTAAGCGAGGCTTAATTATTGTTTTTGAACCGATTCCGAAACTACTGGAAGTAGCATGTAAGCGAGGGTTAATTATTGTTTTTGAACCGATTTCAGAAACAACCGGATGTAGCATGTAAGCGAGGCATTATTAGGGAGCTTAAGTAACCACGAAGGCGACGTCAACGAGAACGGCAAAAACGCAATAGGTTTAGGTTGGCAAAACAACAGCTTTGCACGTGCATCACACTTTTTTGTACATTCCTTTGCCGTCACTTCACGACAACGACGTGAAAATGCCTAACATTTCACGTTTTGTGGACAACGTGAACACAAGACAACGATTTTTATTTTTCTTTTCCTGAACTTTGATACAGTCTTTTAAAATTCAACTCCAGAAAAAAATTGCGTACATTTGACGAACTGAGCGAGATGGAATAAGCGCGATTAAGTTTGAAGCAGTGCGACTTCACTTTTCAAGTGAAGTTTCCGTAGCCGTCGCCGTCGCCGTTGTTGTTGCTTGAGCTCCGTATTATTGTTTTTGAACAATGGCAGGCTAAGAAAGCAGACACAGGGATTGCGCATGCTCTTAATCCTGTTGGGCGGAGCCGTTTGCGACGACAAATTGGTCACAAATTACGCCGTGAATTTGCAAACTGTAATAACCAATCGACCTGATCTATCATGATTTGCACTTCTTTAGTAGCAGAACCTTTGCCGTCCACCTCATTAAAAGTTTAAACCCGTCTGTTCTAGAACTGTGGAATAGAGTTAAAGCGAGAATTACCAAAAGTTGTTCTTTAGAATTTTCTAGTTTCAAAGAAGTTTCGCATTTCAGGTCACCCATAATAGTACCCATAATAATATAATGTGAAAACTATCTGTTGAACGCACAAGTTAAAGCAACTTATCCAGCCCAATATCCATGTCAATATTCTAGGTGTTTCGGGGACTAATTTTAATTTTCGTAAACCTAATTTAATTGTAGAGGTTTTGTAGAGGTATGATTAGGACCTTTATCAAGTTTTAACAAATCATTTTTAAAAAAATATATGTTTTTGCGTGTGTCGTCATATAAAAGATCCATATTTTATCTATTAAGCGAACAAGTCTGGGAGCAATTGGGTCATAAATCTCAGTTGTAAAGAGTTAAGGCATTCTTTTGTCGAAGCCATACGAAGGGACTAAATTACGGTTTCGCTAAAAGAAATATGAAAGCTTGAAAGGGGAATCGAGTATTTTGAAAAAAAAAAAAAACAAATATGATCCCTCGCTGTGAGAAATCAAAAAATGACATAACCAGTTGTGACAAATTTGTAAGTCGTTGATGTTTTTAAAAAAAGTTTCTTAAATGAAGATGATTAAGGCACACATAGTATGCTGAATCATATAAAAACAGTTGTTGTGGTCGAGTGATTTCCGTTTGAAAATTTCAGTAGATTCCACAATGATCGAAATACATCTCATGTAACTCGGAATAAACGGCTGTAACTTTCTGTCAGATTTCTTCATCATAAAGTTTACTAGGTCACGGTTTTCTTAAAATGTATTTGGTAATGACCTGGTATGAATGTTCTAATTCGAACTAATACAATCCCCCAACCATTTTTGAAACTTTCGTGCTATTTCTATTCTCAATTGTAGATCTGACGTTTTTAGCAATGTTCTCTGGCGAGTTTTTTCCCACTTTATCTGACGTTTTTTACCAAAACAGACCAAAAAAGTAAACTGTAACAAAGTTGTTTGGTTCTGAATTTCCAAGAAATAGTAGTAATAAAATGCAAAATTATTAAAATTACCAGGATCGATTCATTGCAGTGTAAAGCAATGTTTATGATTACGAATGTATTTAAAGGTTAGGGCTTAAAAAAAAAAAAGACACAATTAACGTGGTACTTTATCTGTGTTCAGTTGGAGGTAAAATAGATTCAAACAATATTTTTCTTTGGAAAAAAAGTATTTTTTTCCATTTTTAAGTGAGAGAATTGGACGGAAACTCTAATTATTTTCCTGATAATTTTTTTCGAAGTATTTCATTAAAATATCTGCAGGATACCGCATTATGGTCGTATCTGCAGGGGTTTGACTTTAAAGTTTTACTACTTTTTAGAAAATTGTTACGCCTTTATACCACTGAATTTCTTGTGACAAATCAACGTCATTGTCTTCATTGACTGCAAACAAACTTGTAAGATTTGCGTGCCTTTGATATTTTTTCAAATTCCATCACTTTCGCGATGCCCGAAATCATTGTTTTTGCTTGCTTTGTTCTTCTTGTTTACCCCCTGTTAATAAAGGTAAATCAGTTTTAAAAAAGCTGCTATCTAAAAGAAAATATTTAAGTAAAGGCTAATTCAAGTCAGTAATAAGTCCTATGTTTACGCAGAATCTGTCTCGGTCTGTCTTTTCGCTCAATTTTGTCTGATTTTCTTCCTTGTGACAGGTTACACTAATTTATTTTACAGTATAGGATCAATTATGCCGGTCTTTATGACTTTTGATCAAGGCGTACCTATGAAAATATTGATCGATTCTAAGCAAGTATTTTTCATTCCGTGCAGCAGACCTATATGTTCTCATGAAATCACGCAACTTTTTCCAGCGAGCGTTAGTTATTCATCTTCGAGCAATAATGATGTCTTCTGAATATTTAATTGCTAACCCTTTCTGAAAACTTTCCAAACAATTGGAAAAGACGGAAAGTTTGCGAAAAATGTTTTATTTTGTGAATTTGATATAGCGCAGAAAAAAATACATAGAATATATAGAAGCTCGGCCTTTCTAGGTTATGTTACAATGCCACCCCAGGAATCGCGAGTGTTGTGGTCAATTATGCCCAAAGTTCGTCTTAGATTAAAACTCCGGGGTATCGCCCGTTTAAACTAGGAAGGCAAAATAAAAACAATGATATCGAAAACATACTCACAAGACATCTGTTTCACACGAGTGCTTGGCTAAAATTATTTTCAAGTCCTGCCAAATACTTGTAAAGAATTCAGTTTGTTCCTAGCGAAAGTATCTCGAACGTTTTTCTTTTATGTTCTGGACGCTTTCCCCGTGCTTAAAATTTTTTCTATCCGGAAATTCGGTTCCCTTTCATTTTTTTAGTATCACCCTAGGCGAGCTTGAATTAGGATAGTCTACACTGGTATTTTTCCGCGTATAGAATACCCGCTAATTCGGTTTTCGTAGTTTATATCACGAAAAGCCTTTCGAACTCGCTTATCAAAAAAAAAATCGCACCTGAAGAATTTGGTTAAAGTTTTTGCTTTTTTGCGATTGAGTACGCTATATGAAAGATACTAAAACTTGGCAGAATTAACCGTGTCAGCGCATATTTAAGCACTTCTTTTAAAAACATCGAAAGCATTAAAAATTTAACACAAGCAGGAATTAGATCCTTGCGTATTCTGCTGAATTATTTTTTTTCGGAACAAAAGGTTTGTTGACAAAAATTAACGGATATCTCTACAAAGGAAAATTTCTTTAAATTTGTCTTAAACCTTTGGCAAGATCGTATGATCTCCTCAGTTTTTCTCGGTAAAAAAAAAATAGTTTTAAATCTCTAAGTTACCAGCGTAACTAAATAACTCAATTGTTGATCCACTGAGCTTCGATTGAAGAACTAATTTTAGGATTGTATAATTTTTCAAACGTTACGAAAAACAAATATTATTGTTGCCCTAAATCTTGTGTTTATATTTCATTCTAAGAGACTCTTGTATTCTTATCGGAATCTGTTATTATTTTTTCCCGACTGAGATAAAATAAATTATGGTATCGACCAAAGTTAAATTTTTAACAAGGCAATTTCGAGGATTCGGTTTTTTGCCCGTTCAAATCCTTAAGCGTGTATTGCGATGTTTCTAGACTGGAACGGTAAAGGCTTTTTTTTACGCTAGCTTTAATATCGTTACGGCGGTTGTTTAAGGCACAAAGCCACACAAACGCTATGTTTTTTATCTAATTTGCGTTGAGTAATTCTGAGAGTTAAAAGTTTGAATTTTGATAATTCCACCGACATGAAACAGGTGATGGAGAATTCCTTATCGCATCGCAGATTACTTGTGAAAACATTTCGCAAATAGCAAAATATTAGGGAAGCTGCAACACAAGCGTAAGATCGTCATAAATGCACATTTTCCTCAAATTTTCCTTGATTTATTTTTAAAACAATTCTTTTCAACGTCGTAGATTTTGTGTTACAAGTTTCCAAATATGGTCGTAGTAAATTTGCATGCACACAGTTGGAGAACTTGCCAAGTAGCTCCAAGCAATTGTTTGATACCATTCCCCCTCTGCAAGATTTTCTCGCTTTCAGCGATAGCTTTTGCAATTCTTAAACCAGGCATTTCGACATCCATTACTGCTCTTTTACCGCTAGTTAATATAATAATCAAATTCTCACACGAAGGCTTAATTTTTATTTCATGAATCCGTCGTTGGATGGTTAAATCGGAGTTATTTTCAAGCCTGAGAAATGTATTCCTGAACTGGACTACAGAGAATGGTTAATTACAATTCTAGACACCTTCATAAAATAATCATGTAACAATATTGAATGGTCCGCGAGCACAGAGTCATAAATATATTGATGGAAACATGTGTCGAGGCTTGCATTTGTTAAGCCAACGGGGCCAGGCGTGAAGAAACCGTGCGAGTGAAAAGCTAGAAAATTGAAAATGATTTCTAGCGAGTGCCGTTTATGTCTCGCAACGAGTTAAAGCGAATCACTGATAGGCATAAACTGTGATTACGCATGTGTACAAATTTTGCGGTAAACGTGGGTCTAGCAACGCGCCATACAAGATTAATCTACAAGCGGACGAGCGGATAGCTTCGCTGTTGTGACAGTTTTCATGTTGACTACAGCCACTGCCTCAGCGTCTTCGAACTCAGATCCAAATGGTGCGCCTGGAAGTCATCTTCGGGGGTATAAACAGTTAATGGACAGATATGACAGCTTAGTGAACTACACTCCTGCAAATATGGACGACCCGATTGTTATAAACGTTGGCGGAAAACGATTTGAAACGTACGAAGAGACGCTGGCGCGTTTTCCAGATACCCTTCTGGGATGCGCCAGCCGAAGGTCCAAGTTCTACAACTCTAAGCGTCAGGAGTACTTTTTCGACCGGCATCGCTCCGCGTTCGATGCCGTTCTCTACTACTATCAATCTGGCGGAACTCTAATTCGACCGGAGCACGTACCACCTCATGTGTTTATAAACGAAGTTATCTTCTTTGACTTACCCGAGGAGTCAGTCCAACATATTCAACTTGAGGCGGGAATCGCTGATGAACCCGAGGAGCAACCCATGCCGAACAACTATTACATGAGAATTGTCTGGAATGCGCTCGAGTACCCGAACTCCTCGCACCTGGCGAAATTTCTGGCGATTTTCTCCGTCATAGTTATCACTCTTTCGTTAATCATTTTCTGCATCGAGACGCTGCCAGCGTTTAAAATACATCCCCAGAAACCAGAAAACGCAACAGACGATTGGAAACCTCCACCTAATCCTTACGAGAAAATCTGGTTTCGGCTCAATACTTTTGTCATTGTTTGGTTTACGGGCGAGTACGTAATTCGCTTCCTTACGTCTCCACAAAAATTCAAATTTCTAATCGGAGCGCTAAACATTATTGACTTGTTATCCATACTACCGTATTACGTTCAACTAGGGCTCCAAGAGGACGACTCTTCCATCTCTGTCCTTCGCGTGGTGCGTGTCGTCCGCGTGTTTCGCGTGTTTAAACTCTCGCGCCACTCGCGCGGTTTGCAGATATTAGGAAACACTCTCAGAGCAAGTTTAAATGAGTTGATAATGTTAATGTTCTTCTTGGCTATTGGCGTGATGATATTTGCAAGCTGTGTTTTCTATGCGGAAGGAGGCCTCGACAGCAATTTCCCAAGTATTCCTCACGCTTTTTGGTGGGCAGTTGTCACCATGACGACTGTAGGCTACGGAGACGTGTCTCCAGAAAGCTTCCCGGGAAAGATCGTCGGAGCACTTTGCGCTATCTCAGGTAAGCCAACCTAATGCTGTGACACTCGCCTGATAGGATTAAAAGCAACAATTCGGCAAGGTCTGGAAGCGTGCTTAGAAGACTTTAGAAGCCAACCTAATGCAATGGCACACGTTAAGCACACTTCAAAACCAACGAAATATATCAATGTGAAAGCCTATAAAATACACTAGCACCTGCTAAGAAGGTTAAGAAACCAACCAACTGCAATGGCAAGCATTGGGCACGCTTTAAAAACAACGGCACATAGCAGTGGTGCTCAATTGGTGTGAAAGCCTTTAAATTACAGGAACGCGTGCTAAGAACACTTGAGAAACCAAGCTAATGCAATAGCACACCTTAACCACACTTCAAAAACAACAAAACAAAGCACTTGCGCAACGAGTTTAAATGCCTGTAAAATGACTTGAAGGTCAACATAATGCGATACTGCTCCTAGACCGTTTGAAAATCGTTTCTCGAGAGCTCAGATTCGTTTGGAACTGAAGATCAGGTGAATCACTAAACTGTAGCTTTTTCGTTTTCTATTTTAGTTCACTGCCAATTTTGTCCCTCAAATATATAATTACACTTTAAGCCATGAGGCTTTATAGGGTGATATAATGACGCATTGACTCTCTCAAAGCCATAATTCTTAGCCTAACTGCTTTTGAAATAAGCACAACGAGCCTCAATTGATATAAGGTTTCTGCCTACATACACATAACATGTCTCTTTTATTTACCCTCAAAATGACGTATTGTAAAATTGGTCCAAAAATTAGGCCGATTCATTGACGGGAATTGAAGTTAATCAGATTGAGGTTAATCGAAAAACAAAGCCACTTTTAATTTCAAACGCGCTAGAATGAATGAGTACAGTAAAAGTTAATTTGCTATATTTGATAAAATTATACGCTGATTTCTCTCTTGTTCGGGTTCGTCACTTATCCAATTGAACTGTCTACTTTCAAGTACAAAATAAGTGGTTTAAGCATATCACATATCTTGAGAAAAGATAAGCAATTGTTCAATTTGTTGAAAAATTTCAAACGACAAATTTCCTTGTGCAAATTTTCGTACTATTTCATTGCAAATTATTTTTCTGGGTAGCGAGATTCACGCGCGTTTCGTGGAACGCGCGCGTATCTTGCCAACCTTCTGTTACTTTCACTCTGTGAATAAGTAATAGAGTGTGTGCCAACCAAATACAATAACTTTGTTTTGAATTAGTGGCGATGAATGATTTTTTCCGAAGCCTGCTGCTGAACGGCAATAATTCTGCAAAGAAAGCAACGCTGTTTAAACAAAGTGAAATTTGTCCAAGTAAAGTCAATTTTTTTTCGTGGAAGAAAATTCAAAAACTTTTTTATAGTGCTTATTTCAACCCGAAGTTCGTTGTTAAATATTAATTAGCTTCAGAACGCTAAAATGATAACAATAGGCAAGTGCTTTTGACTTATATTTGGCTTTTAGCTTTAAAAGTTAAAATTAAAGGCTTTGAAGCAGGATTTAAATACGAACCTTTCCAAACAACAGGAAGTAAAAGGCTTCGAGGCACATACTTCTTAACGGCAGAAAAATTAAATTAGAGTTGTGCATTGAGTCAACAGAGAGTTTGTCATGTTTTGAAATATTTATCAGTACCTGCTGGCTAAAGAAGTGTACGTGAAAATAGAAATATGACACTTTCATTAAATCTACACAATTTTCGAGTG